CCACAGCTACATGGAGAGACCCTGCCCCAAAAATAAAAATAAAAAATAAAGTCCCATCACAGAACTGCTTTGTGGATCAAACTGAGAAAGTCTGGACAGCCCTGAGAGCCTTGGGCACAGCACAGGCGCAGGTAGCTGATCCTAACGGCCCCTCAGCAAACGACAGCGGAAGAGAAAGTGGCCCTTTAGGAGAACGAGTGTAAACAGCCTGGCGCCTCCCCCCGCCCCCCCACCCCTTGCATTCCTCCGACCTCCGACCTCAGGCCCTGACATTCATCCTTTCTGACCCATCTGTGGGTACCTGTGTCTTGGGGTTCCTCCCGCTCTGCCAGCCTCTCCCTCCCCTGAGGCCTTTCAGCGCCCCCCAGTGGTTTCCTTGTTCATGGCTGTCACTGGGAAATCCACGGAGGACAGATAACAGGTCTGTATCAGTAAGGAGATTTACCGAGGGCCCTGAACTCACCAGGCTCAGGAGTGCGCACGGGGAGCCCCGCTGGAGCCCCACCCCAGCGAGATGGAAGAACCCAGAAGCACCGGGCGGGAGGTTTCAACTTGCCTTGGGTTTAGGGCAAGTTCCAACATCTCTGGACCTGGCCGGTTGTTTTTATGAAGGGCCCTGCCCACCCTCCTCCCAGGGCTGGCAAAGACACTGCGCCCCCGTGGGCTGCTGCTCATTCCCATTGCGTCCCTGGCCCCGGGGTGGGAGCTGAGCCGCTAGCCGGGGGGGGGGGGGGAGGGGGGGGGCTGTGGACAGGACAAAGCTCCCACCACCTTGCCCAGAGCTTTGCAACATTGCCAAGTTCCTCTTAGGAAAACAAACAAACAAAAAACCCCTAATCCGGTCATTTTTCAGCTCAAAGCCCCAAGGCTCTTTTTCTTCACCTGTGGGATAGGCCCAAACCAGCAACAGAGTGCAAGCTGTCTTGGTGGCGGGCGTTCCTGAACAGCACATGCGAATCTCGTGGGGCTCTGTTTGTTTTGAGACAGGGTTTCTCTGCGTAGCCCTGGCTGTCGTGCTTTGTAGTCCAGGCTGGCCTGGAACTCACGTCGACTCGCCTGCCTCTGCCTCCCTGAGTCCTGGGATGGGCGTGCCACCAACTCCTCCTGCAGCTCCTCAGATCTCCCCAAGGTCGTGGTCCCCTCCTGCCCGCAGGAGGAGCTGCCTCTCCTGGCTCCCACAGCCCCTGCACACGAGGAGCCCGCCTTCCGAGACCGCACACTCTCTGCACTCACAAACCTCAGAGCCTTGCCTCGTGCAAGGTCTTACTCACTCCCCGGGACATGGATTAGAGGCGGGGTCGGAGATCCTGAGAGCCAGGGGAGCTGCCACCTACACAAAGCCCTGGGCCGCTCGCCCGCTGGGAGGGAGGGGAGGCGGGGGGGGGGGGAGCGGGCAGAGCCTGGCTTTCTCCCACGTGCTGCCCGCCCCAGCCCCGTCAGTCACTGTCCTTCGGCTTTGGGGTTCACTTGTCTTCAGGCCACAGGCTGGAGGGCCCCCCCCCCCCCCAGGATGCTGGACACAGGCTGACACAGGCCGGCGCCTGTGAATAGAGGCGCCTTGGGGCTTCAGGGTGCTCTCATGCTCTACAGAGATAGCGAGTTAAGAAACTGGGATTCTCCCCGGGGAACCCAATCAAAGCCCCAGGAAAGGGGGTGCATTGTCGCGGACTCAGAAGGAGGTTCCGCAAAGGACCACCCTCAGTCTCCAGACTCTGCTCCCACCTCGTCCCCTGCCCTGCAGGATGCACTCAGCTCTGAGCCCTCGTCCAGGGCCAGTGCTTGCCGAGGGCCCTCCTCCCGGCGGCCTTTGTCTGGGGGCCTCTTTGTCTGGGGTGCCTTTGTCTGGGAGACCCCTTTGGTCCAGTTTCACGGTTCTCGGCCTCCTCTCCCTTTCTCTGGGTTAGGCTGTCCCCTCCCTCTCTGCGGGGGCTGAGAGGCTCCGTGAGGGGAGCGGAGCTGGGTTGCCATGGTCACCTTGAAGCCAGCCGCAGCTGGCCGGGGCAGCTGCTCTTGGGCCCCCGAGGCTGGAGCTTGGACAAAGCCGGAGGCTTCATCGGCCTCAGACCTGGATCCCCAAAGGCCTGAGCCTCGGGAGACTGCTGCTCAGGAGAACCCGGAGGTGAGCGGAAGGCAGAGCTCACCTGGGGGGGGGGGGGCAGGAGCTGACCGTCGGACTGGGCTGCCGTGGGGAGGGACGGGTCGGCCTGGCTGGAGGCGTAGTGGGAAGGGAGAAGGATGCAGGCCCTGGAAACAGGTTGGCCGGCTAGAGGGCGGGGCCTTGGTGGCCTCCAGCCAGGACAGGTTTCATTCTCTCCCTGGGCCCTGCATCTGCCTGGAAAGTTGTCCTTCCTTTCCAAGTCTGTCTGTGTCCCAGTCTTTTTTTTTTTTTTTTTCTCTTTCAAACTCCATCCCTCACTCTCTATCTTCTTGCCCCCGAATCTCAACTTCATTCCAACCTCCTCGTTCTGTTTTCTTCATTCCAGTTTGCTTTCCCCCTGTGTCACCTCCTTTCCCTCCCTTCAATCCCTGCCCCTCTCCACACACCTTCGCCCCTCTATCTCCCACCATTTACTTTGGCACCATCTCCCTTGCCCTCCCCCGCCTTCTGCACTCCATTTGTGTGCCCCTCCTAGGTTCTGCCACCTCATCCCCATGTGACCACCAGTCTCCCCTCCCCCCTGGGACTCTTGGTCCCCTGGTCCCTCATCCCTTCTGAGTCCCTCCTCCAAACGGTGCACAGCTAGTCTCTCTTTTTTTCTGTCCCAGATTTATGCCACCTCTTCCTTTGCCATAGCTCCCCAGCTTCATTTTCCAGTTTGAACTCAGTGGCTTTAAAGTGTGACACCCCCCCCCCCAGGCTTCTCATTCTCCCCAGCTGCTAACCCAACCTGCTTCCCCGGAGGCAGCTGCCACTGGGGCAGGGACTGTGGCGTGTGTGTGTGTGTGTGTGTGTGTGTGTGTGTGTGTGTGGTGTGTGTGTGTGTGTGTGTGTGTGTGTGTTCTGGGCGGTGGGGGTGGGCCCATCTGGCCATCCTCCTCTCACTGGTTCTGTCTGGCTTCCCTGCCATGGCCAGGTGGGCTGCAGGCCTGGGGTTCTTACTCTGTGGGCCTTCTCTTCACATCCCCCCCCCACCCCCGGGCTTGCAGAAAAAGTCAGTCCGGCATGGGCATGGGAGAGTGTGCACAAGGAGAAGTCGAGAACCCTTCCCAGGTTCTAGGGTGCAGTGGGGGGGGAGGAGTTGTGAGCAGTGAGGGAGAAGGGGTGCCACGGATGACTGCGTGGGCTCACTCGTGGTTGCTGGCTCAGCTCTCCAGGCCCCTGGATGGCTGGGATTTCCCTCTCTGGCCCCTGGGAATCCGGGCTCCAAGCGGCACATTCCAGCCGGCTCCAGTGCCTTCTCTGCTGTCACTTGACTCCGCTGGGCCCCAGCCCTGCGTCCCTCCTACTGCTCCAGCCTCGGTCTGGGGCGAGGTGGGCATCACCGACTAGGAATTTTCCCCGGGAGAGTGGGAAAGGGCCAGAGGCTTCAGGACCCTGCTTCCTCCACACCTCCCATAGCCCCTTCACTGGTCAGTGTGAGTCCAGGCTGTGGGACGTCCCACGGGGCGTGAGGAGCTTTCAGCGGCGGCTTCGGGGGTTCCCCAGAGCGGTCCTCCTGGGAGGAGGGGCTGTCTCCTTCCAGGTGAGGTTACTGGGAAGCCCAGCGCCAGCGCCAGCCAGGCTGCACGCCCCGCCCAGCCTCGTCTGCAGAGGGGTTGGGGTAGGTGATGTGAGGGGAGGGTGGTCTCCAAGGGCTCCGTGGAAAGGCCGCCGCGGGTCTCCTCGTGACCATGGGGACTCTCAGCGGGTCCTTCAGCAGCTGCGGAGTCCCAGCCCAGCCCGCCCCGGCCTCTCCCTAGGGGCGGCTTAGCTTCCTGGTAGGTTTTAGTGTACTTGTCTGGTTTGGACTTCGAGTTTTCCTTGAAACTCTTTTTGGGTGTGAGTTTTGAGTCAGGTGGGGTGTGTAACGGGATGGTGAGACCGGCAGGGCTGCTGGAGACTTTACGGTGACCTGACGTTGTCCGGGTAGTTGGCAAGCAGGGGGTGTGGGGAGAGATGGGGCTGACAGGTGATGCTGAACGGAGGAGCACCTCCCAGCCCCCATCTCTCCCTCCCACGGCTCAGCCACTCTCTCCCTTCCTTGTTTCCTTGTTTCCCTGTATCCCTGGGTCTGGCTTTCCCCTTTTTTTGGACAGAGTCTGATTTTCAGGGTGCGCCTCTATCTTCCTCCTCCAGCCTCCCCTCCTCCCCACCTCGTCTTGGCTCCATTCTGCGCCTCTCCTTGCCAGAAACCAGACTCTGTGGCTCCCACCGGGACCTAGCTGGCTGGGACTGAGGGAGGCTTTTCTGGGGACCCAGAACTCGCGGGGTGGGGTGGGGGGCTGGACCTCAGGGCTCTGGAGAGGACTGGAGGGAGCTGCAGAGCTGGGGAGAGGTTGTGGAAGAAGGGGGCAGGGAGAAGTGGAGACTGGGAGAGGGCGGTGGGCTCTCAGGCTCGGGGGGGGGGAATCTAGGCTGGGAGCGGGGGGTGGGGGTGCCAGAGGGTAGCAAAGGGGGGGGTGAGAACCAAGCGGGTCTGGCTAGACAGGTGAGCCTGGCTCCCCTCCCCCAGCCGGGCTGGGGCTCTCGCACCGGTGCTGGGCCTGTGAGAACCCGCTCCTTCCTGCGTGCCCTGGGGCTGCTTCTCTGCGCTCCTCTCCCCCCTCTCTCCAGGAACCGAGCCCAGAAAAAGGGGAGGAGGGACCGCGCCATCTCCTGGCGGGGCCGCCGCGTGGGGGCCCTGGGCGGGCCGCGTGCCCCCTCGGGGTGCTGCCGTCCCCCAACACGGGGGCGGCGGGGGATGGGCGCGCCGATCACTTCGGGGGCGGCTACGCGCGGGGGGGCACTCACGGGGCGGGCACGCCAGGAGGAGCGGAGCGAGGGGCGGCGCCGGGCGTGGGAGCGCGGGCGCCGGGGCGGGAGGGCGGGCGCGGGGAGGGAGGCGGCGCCTGGGCGCGATCGGCCCCGCGCTGGCTCCTCTCCCCGGAACAGGCCCCCGACAGCTGCTCGCGGGAGCCGCCTCCCGACACCCGAGCCCCGCCGGCGCCTGCGCTCCCGGCCCGCGCCCCGCCGCCGAGGAGGCCCCAGCCGGGGCCGGACGCCCGGGTCGGCCGGAGAGCGCCGAGAGGTAGGAGGCGGGGCGGGGACGCGCGCGGTGGGGAGCCCCGGCTCTGCCCCGGGGGTCCTGGTTCCCCTTCCAGGCAGAGGAAGTGTTCTGTCCGCGGGAACAGTCTCCTTGCTCTGTGACGGGGACCGAGCCCCCAGGGGACAGGTGCGCCTGTGTGGCACACTGAGTCATCCTGTCCGTGTCCCCGTGCCTACGCGGGCGTGCTCGGTGAAGCTGCCCGGGCGGAGGGAGCCGGCCTGACGCCCGGCCTGCCAGACCGCCGCACTCCGTGCCAGGAGACAGGTCACCGCCCAGTGAGCGGCGTTCCCAGGGTCCCCTTCTGGCCTGGCATTCCTGTCCAGCACCCCCTCTCCCAGCCACCGCCCGGCTAGCCTGAGCGTGGAGGTGTGTCCAGACCCTAGCGGCACTGTAGGGACGGGGCGCAACACAGAATGCGCCAGAAAGTGGAGACATGGCCCCCCTTCTTCCTGCTGCCCTTCCTACCCAGCTCCACCTGTCCCCACCTGCTCTTGGCTTCTTCCCTCTGGCTTAGCCATGTGTTTGGGGATGCCCCGGCCCCCTGGGGATCCTGTAGCCCAGGGCCTGAGCGTGTCTTACACCGTCTTCTGGGCACAGGAGCATGTGTCTGCCATTTAATGTTAACAGGTGGCGGCCCAGTCAATGGCGAGATCTGACTCTCTAGGTCACCGCAGGGTGTGTGTCACACACCTGTAATCGCAGGTGGAGGCTGTGGGATCAAGAGCTGAAGGTCAGCCTTCCTGGGCATCATAGTGAGCTTTTGCAGGGTCAACTACTTGAGACCTTGTCTCGAAAAACCAGCCAGATCTTACACATTAAATCCCGGTACTCTGGGGGCAGAGGCAGGCGGAACTCTGTGAGTTCCAGGCCAGCCAAGGCTACACGGTGAGACCTTGTCTCAAAACAACAAAACCCAACCAACCTACCCCCACCCCCACCTGGAAAACACAAAGCAACCAGACACAACCAAAGATGCCAACGTTTGCGTGTGTGTGTGTGTGTGTGTGTGTGTAAGAGTTGTGTGTGAGCTGGTCTTGGTGGGACACGGGCCGGTAGGCTCCAGAGGTAGGAGGGGTCAGGATTATGAAGAAAAAGATTGTGTGTGAGAGGCCATGAGACACCCAGAGGTGTGAGCCTGACGCAGTCGGTTTACTCTGGTGTTTACAGTGGACTTCTCAAGGCACACTCTGTGGGGGGGGGGGTGCAGGGAGATGAACTTTAGGGGAGATGAAGGGCCTGGGGCAGCAGGTCCTGATTGGCTGAGGAAGGGCCAGGTGGGTGCCACGGGGGTGGAGCCCCTCCCCCTGTCTGCTTGTGGGAATCAAGTCGTGGGGGACAGGACGGTGGGAAGGGGATCGCCCCGGGGCCTGACAGCAGGTTCTGCAGCCTGCCGCTTGGCCCCGCGCCCTGCTCTCCGTCCGAGCCTGCTCTATTTACCTCTGGCTTTGTGCTGCTTCTGTCTCCCCCTGCCTCCTGCCTCCTGTCCCTGCCTGGCTTTGTGTCTCTGCCCCAGGCTCCGCTCAGCGCTGTCTGGCTCTGATGACTCATCTGGGATAGGCATGAAGGTTGCTCAGGGAACAAGGGCCCTGCTGTTTGCACAGTGGTGGGGGTGGAGAGTGGCACCCAGGAATTCCCTGCCAGGCTTCCCAGGCCCGCACCACGGGGCCTGCACCCCAAGAGGTTGGTACTGCTGCCTTCTGGTTCCAGCCTCTCTGGGTTGATAGCCCTCTGGCAGCCCAGTCAGCCCCTCAGCTGCTGCCTCAGTGATGGGGGTCTCAGCTGCCTCTTACATTCCTGCCCTAGAGCATTGTGGGAGCAGCTGAAGGAGGACAAAGGGATGGGGGAGGCTCCCCCCAACTCCTCCTACCTCCTGGGGTGACCTGGCCTCCCAGTACTTAAGCCTGCCCTCATCTCCTAGGCAACTCAGCCTTCTCTGCCCAAGGCTCTTCTGCCACCTTCAGAAAGTCAGAACTGGGTGCAGCGGGGATGGTGGAGGCTGGCACGGACAGCTGGGGGAGGGAGCGGACCTAGTGGCAGCTGGGGGGACCCGGTGTGAGAGGGGCACTGTCCCCTCAGCATTCTAGGACCTTTAGACTCCAGCGCAGGCCTCAGGCCTTGCCAGGAGACCCCAGCATGGAGGGCAGCAGATCCCGGGTTTATAAGACTTCAGCTGTGATGCACCCCAGAAGGAACACAGGGAGCACCCCAGTCTTCAGGGGGACAGTTACCTGGGGACTCTGAGCCGGTAGGTCCAGGTGGAGTTCCAAGTCTCTGCCAGTGTCTCAGGCGTCCAGTTGGCTGGTCTTGCTACCACAGTGGCCATGCGGAGGACAAGAGGCTTTGCCTCAGGTTCAGGCCTGGAGGTGTGAGGGGCTCAGGGCCAGCAGATGCTTCCTTCTGTTGCGCTGTCCTCAGCAAACAGCCAGACTTCTCTGAGACACCTTCACATTTTCAACATCAGAGTGGGTTTATGTTGGTTTGTGTGTGACATGGTTTCACACATGCCCGCTCCTCTCTCCGACACAGTCAGCCTGTTCTTCACCGTTTCCTGTGCTCTTCCCTCTCCTGCCTCACTCACTAGAGCTGTGTGAGAGAGTGAGCCTACAGGCCAGGTTTGTTTACCCTGGGCCGGCACAGGGTGGAGTCTTCTGCTTCCTAGTCCTGCTTTCCGAGGCCAGCAGTGCTGTGAGGCCCATGTGACAAAAGGCTCCTACTTTTTTATTTAAAGAAAAAATTTTAAGATTTATTTATTTACTTACTTATTTATTCTGAGATAGGGTTTCTCTGTGTAGCCCTGGCTGTCCTGGACTTTGTAGACCAGGCTGGCCTCAAACTCACAGAGACCCGCCTGCCTCGGCCTCCCTGAGTGCTGGGATCACAGGTGTGCGCCGTCGCACCTGGCTTTATATTTTTTTATGTTCCTGAGCGTTTTGCCTGCATGTGTGTCTATGTGTAATGCATGTCTGTGTGTAATGCGTGTCTGTGTAATGTGTGTCTGTGTGTAATGCGTGTCTGTGTAATGCATGTCTGTGTGTAATGCGTGTCTGTGTAATGTGTGTCTGTGTGTAATGCGTGTCTGTGTAATGCATGTCTGTGTGTAATGCGTGTCTGTGTAATGTGTGTCTGTGTGTAATGCGTGTCTGTGTAATGTGTGTCTGTGTGTAATGCGTGTCTGTGTGTAATGTGTGTCTGTGTGTAATGCGTGTCTGTGTGTAATGTGTGTCTATGTAATGTGTGTCTGTGTAATGTGTGTCTGTGTGTAATGCGTGTCTGTGTAATGTATGTGCACCTGGTACCCCTGGAGCTTGGAATCTGGCACTGGATACCATGGAACTGGAGTTATGGATGGTTGTGGGTGCTGGGAACCCGAATTCTCTGTAAGAGGAACAAAAGCTTCTAACTGCTGAGCTGTCTCTCCAGCCCTCAATTTTCTTTTCTTTCTTCCTTCCTTCTTTCCTTTTTTCCTTTTAAACTTTTGTTGCCTTTGGGCTTTTGGTGTTTGATTCGGTCTCATGTAGCCCAGGCTGGCTTCAACTCTAGGATGGGGCTGTGGCTGGCCTTGAACTCCTGATCCTTCACCTCTCACACGTGAGAGTTACCAGTATGCCACTGACCCTGCTTTTAAATCAAACGTACTTATTCTTTGTTTACACGTATGGGTGTTTTGTCTTGTGTGTGTGTCTGTGTGGTACCGTCACGCCTCGGGCTCTGGGAGGCCAGAGAGCGCTGCGTCCCCTAGGACCGAGCCGGTGCTGGGACTCTAACCTGGGTGCTCTGGAAGAGAAGCCAGTTGTGTGTCAGTCAGAGGATGGCAGTGGTGATGTCACACATCCTTAATCCCAGCACTAGGGGCAGAGGCAAGCGGATCTCTGTGAGTTCAAGGCCAGCCTGGTCTACACAGTTTCAGGACAGCCAGGGCTATGTAGAGAGACTCCATCTCAAAAACAAACAAGTAAAAAGGAGTTGTTTTCCCTTCAACCCCGATGTTCTGCACCCGGGGGTCCTGGGGACTGAACTCGGGTCATCACGCTTCGAGGCTAGTGCCTTCTACCTGCGGAGTCACCTCTCTGGATCTTTACTCTTTTTCTTTTCACGGTGACAGAGACGCTTACTCCCCCGGCACACACAGCCCCGCCCCCATTGGCCCCTGTGGTTGTTCACAAGGATCTGGGTCCTCACCGAGGGCTCCGTGGTGGACATTTGCGGGCACTGCTGGGTTCTTACTCCTCCTGCTTCTTCCCTGCCCTGTGTTTGAACTGTCCTGTCAGGGTCCTATCGCCAGTGTTTTCGGAGCAGATGATACTGCTATAACACACAGACCATGGTGGCTTCCCTTCTGTCCCTCTTCCCCTGAAGAGATAACCGTTAAGAACACTTTGTTGGAGCTGGAGAGATGCTCAGGGGTTAGGAGCGCTTCCGGCTCTGGCAGAGGGCCCAGCGCCCAGGTGACTGCCAGCCCGCTGCCATCAGTGACTCAAGTTCTAGGGTTCTCGCTCCCTCTTCTGGCCTCCTCGGGTGGGTACTGCATGCATGTGGCGAACAGCCGTGCGTCAGGCAAACACTAACATGAATAAAAAATTTAAAAATCAATCTTGATGATTCCTGTGTGTGTGTGTGTGTGTTTATGTGCAGTGGTGTTTTGCTTGCATGTATGTCTTGCATGTATGTGAGGGTGTCAGATCCCCTAGAACTGGAGTTATAGACAGTTGTGAGCTGCCATGTGGGTGCTGGGAATTGAACCCGGGTCCCTTGGAAGAGCAGCCAGTGCTTTTAACTTCTGAGACATCTCTCCAGCCCCAGTTAAGGAATCTAAAAACAAAACAAAACAAACCAACAAACAAAAACTTTGTCAAGTTAGGCATGTCAAGTATGCATCTGCAATTCCAGCATTTGGGATATTGAAGCAGGAGGATGGCGGCCAGGTTCAAGGCCAGCCGAGGTTACATAGTGAGATAGAGGTCAGCTTGGGCTACAGAGTGAAGATTATCTATCTATCTATCTATCTATCTATCTATCTATCTATCTATCTATCCATCCATCCCTTTGTCAGTCTGATTTGTATTTTTCTGGTTCTGATGAATTTGACTCTTTTTGTAAATCGTAGGCTTTGTTCTTCTATAAGGTGGATATTCAGAATCTCGGCTATTTCTGTATTGGGTTGTTTATGAACTGTTTCTCTTCACAAGAGCTCTTCTTGGTTTATTATAACTACTAGGCCCTTTGCCTGTTCTCTGTGTTGTCTGTACCTTTTGAAGCCATTTTTTTCATTTATTTTTGTTCTTATTTTCTTTTATCGATTGAGGGGGTGGAGGCCTTCGGTATGGTATCAACGAACGGATCTCCGCCTGGTTTCTTTGTGCGTTAAGTAAGGATCCTAGCAGCTGCCTTGCACAGCGCTGACAGTAAAGTTACGGTCTCCCGTGAGAGGGCTCAGCCAGGGCCTGGAGGGCAGGAGGCAGCCTGAAAGCAGAGCCGCTCTCTGGACTGACCTCTCAGTTTTACTTTTGGCCATTTTACTGTTCTTGCCCCCAGAGCACCCAGCCTGTCGGCCCCTGCTGCTGGCTGTGCCCAGGTCTATTGGTGACTGCCTCCCTCCTCTTGTGCCCTGCAGAGATGCCATCCTCCCCTCCGTAGGCCCGGGGGACCAGGAGCTATGGGGGCAGGGGCCCTCTCCTCTCTGCTGCTGCTGCTGCTCTTGGTGACCGTTGGGGATGCTGACATGAAGGGGCATTTCGACCCTGGTGAGGAGACTCAATGTTGGGTTCCCCGGGGACAGAGCGTGGGAGTCGGGAGGTCTCGGGGCCCTAACCCTTCGTATGCCCGTGTCCTCCAGCCAAGTGCCGCTATGCCCTGGGCATGCAGGACCGCACCATTCCCGACAGCGACATCTCCGTGTCCAGCTCCTGGTCAGACTCCACCGCTGCCCGCCACAGCAGGTACCTGACACGGGGTCACCTAGATGGAGCTCTCTTATGGACCCCTCCGTGCCCCTCCAGGCCCTCTGCACAGGCTAAGAGGCTTTTGAGAAGGCCCGGGCCGGTGAGACGTACTCAGTGTCATGGGAGCGGGGAAGCTGCCAGGGTGGCTCACTTAGGGTGCTCAGCGGCTATGAGGCTCTGTGTTAAAAGTCCCAGTGCCCTTAAGTGGCTGTGGTGGCTATGCTCACCCGGGAAGGAGAGGCAGGGCGAGGCAGGGTCAAGTGCCAGCCTGACAACCTTCCTCCTCCCAGGCTGGAGAGCAGCGATGGCGACGGGGCGTGGTGCCCCGCAGGACCCGTGTTCCCCAAAGAGGAGGAGTACCTGCAGGTGGACCTCCGGAGGCTGCACCTGGTGGCTCTGGTGGGCACCCAGGGCCGCCATGCCGGGGGCCTGGGGAAGGAGTTCTCCCGAAGCTACCGGCTGCGTTACTCCCGGGACGGCCGCCGCTGGATGGACTGGAGGGACCGCTGGGGTCAGGAGGTGAGGCCCGGAGGGGAGGCCCAGGCGGGCCGAGTTCTCCTTGCACCCGCTGGCGCCGGCATCCCCGGCTCCAGGCCGCCGTGAACCGGCTGCCTCTGCACGTCCCCGGGGAGTCTTGGCCCCACCTCGGCCTCTGCCGTGCGCCTGGCTTCTCACTCCCGCCCCACACCTGGTCCTTTTTCTGATTCTCAGCGTGGGGGAGTTTGCCTGCCCCCGTTCCGTGTTTAGCATCCCAGACCACAGGCTGCGGTGGCGTCGCAGCTCCCCCTCCCAGCTCCTCTCCACTCGCACCTTCGTGGGTCTCCTGCGCCCCGCCACTCTCCCCCCCTCCATCCCACCTCTAAGCCGCTGGGACGAAGTCTGAACCCTTCAGCCTGTCCACTACATATCAGCCATCCTCCCCGCTGAAGGAAATCAGACGGTCACACCCAGCCCTCAGCCCAGCCCTGGCTTTGGCTCTATCAGAAAAATACACCCCAGTCCTTTGGCTGAGTGCACCTGGGTTGGCGTGGTTCCTGCTCCAGGGCGTCTGGCGCCCTCCTGTGGTCTCTGCGGGCTCAGCGCTCAAGGGTGCACATGCTGTGGCCAGACCCGTGTGTGCGTCTTTCTTGCCGTCTGTGGAACAAGCCGGGCCCCTCCCAGCAGTCAGGGCTCGCATGCTCCTGCTCTCCGGGCCTGGCGAGCCTCCCCCAGACACCCCCAGGCTCCCTCTTGTGTGTCCAGTCCTCGCGATGTCTCGTCCTGCAGCTGCGGACACCCGCCTCCTCCCCACACTCTGCCTCTTGTTCCTCACAGCTGTCCACTGAGGTCACATGTGGTCCAGCGTGGTCAGCTCGTGAATGGACGGGGGGTGCCGAGCTGGGGTGCCGGACGCAGTGGCATGCATGGCTTGGAGACAATGGGACCCGGTGGGGGGTGGGGCTGAGGTGCACACGAGGACAGACCTCCGGAGCCCAGGGGCATCCCTCGGTGCCGTGTGCTGGGCGAGCCCCCTAGGCCGATTCAGGAGGTAAGCCCTGCCCGCAGCCCTTACCCACCATCCGCCCTCTCTCCTGGCCCACAGGTGATTTCGGGTAACGAGGACCCCGGTGGAGTGGTGCTGAAGGACCTCGGGCCCCCCATGGTGGCCCGGCTGGTCCGGTTCTACCCCCGGGCCGACCGAGTCATGAGTGTGTGTCTGCGGGTGGAGCTCTATGGCTGCCTGTGGCGGGGTGAGTGCCAGGAGGTCAGCGTGGAGGGGAGGGGAGGGGAGAGAGGAGAGGGCCCAGGCCCCACGCCTCTGACTCCCCTCTTCCCCCTCCCAGATGGATTGCTGTCTTACACAGCCCCCGTGGGGCAGACCATGGTCCTGTCTGAGGAGGTGCATCTCAACGACTCCACCTATGACGGCTACACGGTGGGCGGGTAAGAGGGATGGGCCTGTGGGGCGTGGGGTGGGAGCGGGCTGCAGGCTCGCCTGTGTGTGCGCTCTCGTGGGAGGTGAGGGAGAGTGTGGGGTAGCCTGGGGAGAATGCGGGTGAGCGAGGACCTGGAAGGACAGGCCGGGAACAGTGATAGAACGGTGGCCGCCAGCCGGAAGGCTGCTCTGCGTGTGTTACACCCCCGTGGACCAGACAAGGACCACCTTGTAAGAAGACCCGCATGACATGCACAGCTCCTGAAATCCCTGACCTTGGGAGGGACTGCAGTCACACAGCCCGTTCTCGGCCAAGGCTGCCTCAGCACCAGAAGGGGCTGTACCCCCAGCTAGGACCATCTGCGGGCCTGGTCTCTGCAGTACACACTGTGGTGGCGGCGCTGCGGCCTGGCGTGGTTTGGGCTGGGTGCATGCAGGAGAGGAGGGTATTTATTGCACGACGCTGGGAGGACAGAGCGGAGGAGAGTCAGGCTCTTGGCCTCTGCCGCCTCCCCTCAACTCCCCTTTCTCTTCACCTCCGAGCAGGCTGCAGTATGGCGGTCTGGGCCAGCTGGCGGATGGTGTGGTGGGCTTGGATGACTTCAGGCAGAGCCAGGAGCTGCGGGTGTGGCCGGGCTATGACTACGTGGGCTGGAGTAACCACAGCTTCCCCAGCGGCTATGTGGAGATGGAGTTTGAGTTTGACCGACTGAGGGCCTTCCAGACCATGCAGGTGCGTGCCCTGCGTGCCCTGGGGGGGAGCTGCTGGGCTCTCCCCGCCTTGACTCAGTTTCCCCCTCCTCCCGTCAGGTCCACTGCAACAACATGCACACCCTGGGAGCCCGCCTGCCGGGCGGGGTAGAATGCCGGTTTAAAAGGGGCCCTGCCATGGCCTGGGAGGGAGAGCCTGCGCGCCATGCCCTGGGGGGCAGCCTCGGAGACCCCAGAGCCAGGGCCATCTCGGTGCCCCTGGGCGGCCGCGTGGGCCGCTTCCTGCAGTGCCGCTTCCTCTTCGCGGGGCCCTGGTTGCTCTTCAGCGAGGTGTCTTTCATCTCGGGTAAGCCCCGGCGTGAGCTCCGACTGTCCTCTGACTGCTGTGGTGTCCTCTCGTGGGCTCCCAGTATTGCATCACCGTGAGATTTCTCAAACCGGGGCAGCATAATCAGACCCCAATGCTTTGTAGAGGCTTTTTTGGTTGGGTGTTTTGTAAGTTCTTTTTTATTTTATTGTGTTTTTGAGACAAGGTCTCACTGTGTGCCTCTGCCTTCTGATTAAAAGCTGCGATTAAAAGCATGTGCCCCACACCCAGGTAGATTTTTTAATTTAATTTAATTTTTAAAATGATTTTAAAAGATTTATTTATTTTTTATGTCTGCATGTGTACCTGCAGGCCAGAAGGGGGCGTCAGATCTCAATGTAGATGGCTGTGAGCCACCATGTGGGTGCTGGGAGTTGAACTCAGGCCCTACTGGAAGAACAGATGGTGCTCTTAACCGCTGAGCCATCTCTCCAGCCCCTAAAATGAAATATTTTGAGGGTGGTGGAAGTCTGGTCAAGCCTGAAAGACTAATTGAGAAACAGCCTCTTCCCTGAGCCTGCAGACCCCCAAGGACATTCTTGAGACCCCCGAGTTCCCCACTTCCCTTAGGCAGGGCTTCCAGACTGCGCCTCTGGTCCCTGGCCCTCACGCCCCTGTGCCCCTTGGGTCCCTGCTCTGACCTCCCTTTTCCTTCCTTCTCCCCAGATGTGGTCAACGATTCCACCGACACCTTCCCACCAGCCCCCTGGTGGCCGCCTGGGCCGCCTCCCACCAACGTCAGCAGCCTGGGTGAGGAGTGCTTGAGTGGTCCTCCCGTGCTGGGGCTCCTCCTCCCCGTGCTCCCTGTGCTGAGGCTCCTCCCCCCCCCTCCGTGCTCCCTGTGCTGGGGCTCCTCCCTGTGCTCCCTGTGCTGGGGCTCCTCCCCGTGCTCCCCGGGCTGGGGCGGCCGCCTGCTGGCTTGGTGCTGACCCTTCCCCTCCGTCAGAGCTGGAGCCTCGGGGTCAGCAGCCAGTGGCCAAGGCGGAGGGGAGCCCCACGGCCATCCTCATCGGCTGCCTGGTGGCCATCATCCTGCTGCTGCTGCTCATCATCGCCCTCATGCTGTGGAGGCTGCACTGGCGCCGGCTGCTCAGCAAGGTGGGCGGGCACTGTGAGTGTGTGTGTGTGTGTGTGTCCATGTGTCTGTGTGTGTGTGCGTGCACGCGTGCCTGTGTCAGTGTGTGTACGTGCCTCTGTGTGTGTGTCAGCGTGTGTGTACGCGTGTATGTCTGTGTGCGTGCGCGCGTGCCTGTGTGTGTGTGTATGTGTCAGCGTGTGTGTATGCGTGTATGTCTGTGTGCGTGCGCGCGTGCCTGTGTGTGTGTGTCAGTGTGTGTGTGCGCGTGTATGTCTGTGTGTGCGCGCATGTGCCTGTGTGTGTGCATGAGTGTGTGTCATCGTGTGTGTCAGCGTGTGTGTATGTGTGCATGTCTGTGTGTGCGTGCATGTGCGTTCGTGCATGTGCTGTGCAGGCAGGCCTTGGGGAGGAGCCAGAGGACAAATGTCACTTTCTGCCTCTCAGCTGTGTCCACCTGATGTAACCAGCCTGTTGGGAGCAGAGGCTGGGAGGGGTGTGGTGAAGGGGCAGGTGGCCCGTTGCCCCAGGCCCTGGACATGTGTGGTGGGGTGACTCCCGCCGTGGTTGTGATTAGGGTCAGGTTTGGGTCCTTGGGGGACCTCGAGGAAGTGGGGCCGCAGGAGGGGACAGACCCTCCACGTCAGGAGGCCGTGCTGAGCAGTGTCACCTAACGTCTAATCCGCAACCAGGCGGAGCGCCGGGTGCTGGAGGAGGAGCTGACGGTCCACCTCTCCGTCCCTGGGGACACCATCCTCATCAACAACCGCCCGGGGCCCCGAGAGCCGCCCCCTTACCAGGAGCCCCGGCCTCGGGGCACCCCACCCCACTCTGCGCCCTGTGTCCCCAACGGCTCTGGTAAGTCCTGTCTGTCCCGGTCCACTGTCTTCGCCTGTGTCTTCAGGTAGCCCTCCTCCTCCTGTGCTCTCCACGCCCTCTGGTTCTCATTACCATGCCCCTCCGTGTAGCCTCCCCAAGGCTTTCCTGCCTGTTACCCAGAATGCTGCTGGTCTCATCCTGTCACTGTGTTCTAGAGTTCTGTTGTGCCCTCCTCGTTTGTACTTCGCATCCACCATCTATCCGTCCCCGCCTGTCCATCTTTCTTTGTTCATCCATCCACTCATGTAACCACCCGTCAGCCTACCTGTATTCAGGAACCCATCTGCCTGTCCAGACTTCAGATATCAATGTTAGTACCATCCATCGTCCCCTCATCCATCCATCTCTATCCTTTATCCCCTCATCCATCCATCTCTATCCATCATCTCCTCATCCATCCATCTCTATCCATCCATCCATGTCTGTCCATCATCCCCTCATCATTCCATAATATCAGTCATGATCCCCTATCATCATCCATATCTATCCATCCATCATCCACCTGTCCATATCTATCAATTTACTCATCCATCATCCCCTCATCCATCCATATCTCCTCATCCATCATCCATCCATCTGTATCCTTCCCTCTACTCATCCATCCATATCTATCCATCTACTCATTCATCATCCATCTGTATCCATCCATCTACTCACCCATCCATCTCTGTCCATCATCATCCCCTCATCTATCTGCCTGTATCCATCCATCATCCTGTCATACACCCATATCTATCCACCCATCATCTCTCATCCATCCATATCTATCCATCCATCATCCCCTCTCCCATCCATCTCTGTCCATCATCATCTCCTCATCCATCTGTATCCATCCATCATCCTGTCATACACCCATATCTATCCATCCATCATCCCTCATCCACTCATCCACCCTTCTGTATCCATCCATCCCTCATCCTTCCATATCTATCCATCGTCCATTCAGCTCTCCATCACCCGCGAGGGCCTTGCTCTGTTCTCTCTGCCTCCTGTGCTTTCACTCCCATGAGCCCCAGTCCTGCCTTATCCCAGGTCTCCCTGTCCGTCTCGCCTCAGTCTCATCCCTTCCCCGTGTCTCCCCCTCCTTCTCCCGACAGCGCTGCTGCTCTCCAATCCGGCCTACCGCCTCCTTCTGGCGACTTACGCCCGCCCCTCTCGAGGCCCGGGCCCCCCCACACCCGCCTGGGCCAAACCCACCAACACCCAGGGTAAGCCCCTCTGCCGCTGGGCTCTGCAGGCTCCCGTTCCTCCACCGGGCACGGAGAGCCTCACACCTTGCACTCTCGCTTCCCCGCTGTGGCCTTTTCTGCTCTCCTGAGCTCCAGCTGAAAGCCACCCCCAGGGCCGAGGGGCCTGCTGCCGCTCTTAGCTCTGTCCCGCCTCCTCTCCCGCTCTCCAGAGCTGGAGGGCGCTGCTGTGGCGCCCACTCTTCTGTAACCCCTCCTTTATTCTCCCCTCTCTCTAGAGCTGCGAGGAGGAGGGCCTCACCCTGGGCGCTTGCCCCCTCCCCCGTGTCCTCTCTCCGCAGTCCCAGAGGTGAAGGCTCACGCCGCCCTCCCGTCTGCTCCCCCTTCCCTCCGTGTTGCTTTCTCATTGTGGCCCCTTCCCCCAGGGCCCGGAGGGGACAACTCCGCCTCCCTCCTGTCTACAGACATCTTGTCTTGGGGGCCTGTCACCCTCTCCCCTCTCTGTGTGCCCTGTCTCTGCCTGTCTTCGAGCTTGGTGTGTTTGCGATTGGGAGGGGCCATGGCGGGGGGGGGCGGGGTTGTGGCGGGGAGGGGCGGAGCTGACAGGCAGGAGCTGCTGGTCCGTGGGACCCGGGTTTGGAACAGGGCGGAGACTCAGGGCTTGGGCCTCCCTCAGATGCTGGGCGGAGGAGGCCCTCTTCCAGCCCAGGCTTTCCTGGTGCTCAGGGTTGTGCCAGGGCTACCCAGGGGGTAAATGTTCCTGGTGCCGTCTGCCATAGCCATCTGTGCGCCTCCAGCCTCTGGGTGGGTAGCCCCGTTCGCTGGCTGGAGGCTGGCAGCTGGGGCGCAGGGGGTGCAGAGCCGGGGCTCTGGGGGTGGGCTGCTGGGGCTGCCGCCGCCTCACCGTCCTCTCTCTTTGCCCCTCCAGCCTGCAGTGGGGACTACATGGAGCCCGAGAAGCCGGGCGCCCCGCTGCTCCCCCCGCCCCCCCCAGAACAGCGTCCCCCACTACGCCGAGGCCGACATCGTCACCCTGCAGGGCGTCACTGGGGGCAACACGTACGCCGTGCCCGCGCTGCCCCCGGGGGCCGTGGGGGACGCGCCCCCCAGAGTGGACTTCCCTCGGTCACGGCTCCGCTTCAAGGAGAAGCTTGGCGAGGGGCAGTTTGGGGAGGTGAGGAGGGGGGCTTTGCCGCCATGCCCGCGTGCTTGCCGGCTGACGCTGTGACCTCGTGACTCATGGGAGGACCGCCTTTCTCCAGGTACACCTGTGTGAGGTAGAGGACCCCGAAGACCTGGTCAGCAGCGACTTCCCCATCAGCGTGCACAAGGGACACCCCTTGCTGGTAGCGGTGAAGATCCTCCGGCCAGACGCCACCAAAAACGCCAGGTGAGACCCAGGGCAGCAATAGTGATAACCCATTCCCGGGGATGGGTCACGCAGGGCCCTCTCCTCGTGGGGAGATGTTGGCAGGGCTGCTGGGAGGGAGGATTAACCTTCTCCAAGAGCAGCCCCTAAATGCCTACCCAACCCCAAGTGGTCAGCCTTGAAAACCTCTACAGACAAGCTGCACTAAGAGACGGCAGAGTGGATTTACTCACCCACGTGCTGTAACAGTAGCAGCTAAGGGATGAGGGGCTGGAGAGACGGCTCAGGAGTAAACAGCACTGGCTGCTCTTCCAGAGGACCTGAGTTCGATTCCCAGCAACCACTCAGTGGCTCACAGCCATCTATAGTGAGATCTGCTGCCCTCTTCTGGCGTACAGGCAGAACACCGTCTACATAATAAATAAATAAATCTAAATATATAATTAAGGAGTGAGAGACCACGGAGGATTTGAAAGAGTGAACCACCTCAAGGGGACATGGGAGGGGTTGGAGGGAGGAAAGGGAGAGGCAAAGTGATGGAATTATATTTTAATTAAATAAAAAGTAATTTTAAGAGCTGCTAGGTAAGGGCCAGGGATGACGTCTAGAAAAGGGAGGGAAGCCTTGCGGGGGGGGGGGGGGGTTGTCAGGAGCAGCTGAGCCTGTGTCGGGGGAGGGGGAGGGCACACTGCCCCTGGCCAGCCCTCTCGCTGCTTCTCCAGGAATGATTTCCTGAAGGAGGTGAAGATCATGTCACGGCTGAAGGACCCAAACATCATCCGGCTCCTGGGCGTGTGTGTGCAGGACGACCCACTCTGCATGATCACAGACTACATGGAGAACGGAGACCTGAACCAGTTCCTCAGCGCCCACCGGCTGGAAAACAAGGCCGCCCAGGGCCTTCCTGGGGACCCAGAGCCTGACCAGGGGCCCACCATCAGGTACGCGGTCCCAGGGCAGGGCCCCCCTCAGAGCACCCCAAGTGGTGTTCCCTCAAGCTGGGAAGGAAGGTGGAGGTGTCCATGGGAATTCAGGACCTTGGGCCAGAAAGGCCGGGATCTTAGAAGGAACAGGAGGCATGGAGCCTCTGAGCTCTCCCCTGTGCCAGCTTAAGAAAACACCGGCTGGGGGCGGGAGTGAGGCGGGAGGGGGCTGGAGAGATGGCTCAGAGGTTAAGAGCACTGGCTGCTCTTCCAGAGCTCCTGAGTTCAATTCCCAGCACCCACAGGGTGGCTCACAGCCGTCTATAGAGATCTGGTGCCCCCTTCTGGCCTGCAGACTCACACGCAGGCAGAGCACTCTACACATAATAAATAAATAAATCTTAAAGAAACGGGAGCCCTTTGGGGTTGGAGTTGGACTTGCCCGTGATGTCGCCAGCCGCTGGGGTGTGGGCTGCCCTCCCCCTCCCGGACACGCGTGTGGAAAGTGGAGGCTTGGGTCCGGACGGCTGGAGACCTGCTCTTCCTCCACTCAGCTACCCCATGCTGCTGCACGTGGCGGCCCAGATCGCCTCGGGGATGCGCTACCTGGCCACACTCAACTTCGTGCACCGGGACCTGGCCACCCGGAACTGCTTGGTTGGGGAAAATTTCACCATCAAAATCGCCGACTTTGGCATGAGCCGGAATCTGTACGCGGGGGACTACTACCGCGTGCAGGGCCGGGCCGTGCTCCCCATCAGGTGGATGGCCTGGGAGTCGATCCTCATGGTGAGCGGAGGGAGGCGGGGTGGGGGGGGGGGGGCGGGGACCCGACGCCGGCTGCCCCTCCTCAACCCTTCCCCTTCTGGGCCTGCGCTCTCCTCTTGTGAGGACCGAGGGTCCTTGCGGATCAGGGAACTAGGACAGGAAGGAAGAGTGGTGGGGGCGGGGGTCTAGGAGCCAAGAGTGTGGGTGCTGCGGGGCGCGGCTCGTGCCTGTAGTCCCAGGAGGCAGAGGCAGGCGGATCTCTGTGAGTTCGAGGCCAGCCTGGTCTACAGAGCGGGTCCAGGGCAGTCACGGCTACACAGGGTTGGAAGCTGGGGGTAGAAGGGGTTGGGTTAGGATACTGGCTCAGTATCCGCAGGCGGGAGGCAGGCGGAGGAGAGGGCAGGGGGAGGGTGTGTGTGAGCTCTTTCTCTCCTCTCTCGCCTTCCCGCGTACCAGGGGAAGTTCACCACAGCGAGCGACGTGTGGGCCTTCGGAGTGACGCTGTGGGAGGTGCTGATGCTCTGCCGGTCCCAGCCCTTCGGGCAGCTGACGGACGAGCAGGTCATCGAGAACGCGGGGGAGTTCTTCAGGAACCAGGGCCGGCAGGTCGGAGCGCAGGGGGGCGTGGCTTGTGGGAGGGGCCCGGGGCAGGGCATGCGCAGACTAAAGGCCATCCGTCGGTACCTCGCAGGTCTACCTGTCCAGGCCGCCCGCCTGCCCGCAGACCCTGTATGAGCTGATGCTACGGTGCTGGAGTCGGGAGCCCGAGCAGCGGCCGCCCTTCGCCCAGCTTCATCGGTTCCTCGCAGATGATGCGCTCAACACAGTGTAGACTCAGGACCCTGCAGCCCGTTTCTGTTGGGAGCCGGCCCGGGGGAAGCTGGACGCGAACACCGGAGAAGCCTACGGCGCCACACCCCGCCACCTCCTGACTTGCCCGTCCCCGAGAGGCAGCGTTTCTGCGGGTGGGCTGGTCCCACCCAGGGAGCTGAAGCCTCAGTTACCAGATACACACGCGCTCGCCCTTCCTGTACTTCCTTCCATCTCCTGAGCGCCACCCACCCAGCTGGCCCTGGGCTTGGGATCCTGCCTGACTTCTTCCAGCCATCCCCAGGGCGAGGACGGAGGCAAATGCAGGGCACACACTGGACAAGGCCCACTGGACCTCCTGGGCCCCACTGGACAACACTGGTTCCTGGGGAGGAGGCTCTGCCCCCTGCCTCCTTCCTGTCACACACTGGACACCGAATTGGGGGGAACGGACAAGAAAGGCCAACGCCTGCAGCGGTCCTCCGCCGTGGCCGCCTTCTGTCCTACCCCGACACACTGGACCTGGGGGTGACCCCTGCCGTGACCCTCAGCCACAGCCCTCTCCTTCCTACCCGCCGCACTGCAACTAGACCGTCTCAGCCTATATGTTTCTGTGGAGTAAATGCTAGGATGGGGACAGAGGGAGCAATAGCCCAAGGCCGGGGGTGGGGATTCTATCGTAGCTACCACATTGGTTTTTCTATAATCACGTGGGGTTTGTACATTTGGGGGGAGAGACACAGATTTTTACACTAATATATGGACCTAGCTTGAGGCAGTTTTAATCTCCTGCACTAGGCAGGTAGTAATAAAAGGTGAGTTTTTCCACGGCTGTGGATGCATTTCTTGGGGTTTGGGTAATGTCTGCCTCCTGTCCACTTCCTTTCCCCAGTCCGCGTCCCACATCCTGTCCAGCATTGGTCTGTTGTCACTGTAATCCAGGCCTGAGCCTGTCGGGCCATGAGAGCCCTGTGCTCGCTGCTCCGCAGAGGGAATAGAAATGAACGGTTTCCTGTCGGTGGCAGTCAGAGGTTCCCTGGAAGCCACTGGGAACTCCAATCCCATTCACCAGGAAGGGCAGAGCTAGCCATCAAATATAAAGGCGAGGCTTCTATGCTTTGTCTGGAGTCTAGGATCCTGAGGGCTGGGAGCCCCAGGTGATCCCTGGGTCAGGTTTTGAAATCACGCACATGAGTCTCAGGTGTGAGGTGTCTGGGTGGAAGCCAGAGTGAGCCTGGCTCGCTTCAGGCCAGCAAGGACAGGCTGAGGCCACTGTGAACGCCTTAAAGAGTTCACCTTGGGTGGTCCGAAAACAGTCCCCGGCAGGTTTGGAGAAAACCACTCCATCTTCATAGCCGTCCTGTGAAATAAGGACCCTGGGGGTTGGGATGACAACATTCACAAAGGGAGCCAAATAGATAATGAGGGCAGCAGAGATAATTTAATCTGAGGTTGGATTAATGGGCTCTCGGGGACCAGGTCCCAGATCTCACCGTCTTGCTAAAGCTGTGCAGGTCAGACTGCTGCCTTAAGATTAAGACAGACATTGATGGGTTGGAGTTCAGAGGTCAGACCTTAGGCTAATAAGCAATGGGAGCCCTGGCAGGGAGCTGTAGCTCCCAGAGCTCCGAGCCCAGACTTACTCTAAGTGCCAGAACTACGTGACTCCAGGTTCTTGCCAAGTTCAGCCTGAGCGTGTTCAAACCCGCCACACCTGCAACAGTGTCCACTCTGTGGCACCAATGCCATCTTGATCCTTCCCGCTGCCGAGCCCCGTCCAGCAGGAAGCTCTCGGGTCTGCCAGGTCCCCGTTCCTTCTCGACGCATCCACTGCCCTGGCTCACGCCGCAACACCGCAGTCTCCCGGGACCGTTCCTGTCCCTCTCTGGTGTGTCTTCAGCTCTGCAACCACAGGAACCTTGCTTTGAGACTTCTGCAGAGGACGACCTTCACCAGATTCCCCTGCCCTCACCTTCCAGGCGCTGGAACTGCAGACAGCCCCACACCTGCTCCTCTGCACTTTATTTTAAAAATTACATACACTTATTTAGCGTGCGTACACAGCTCATGTGGAGCTGTGTGTGTGTGGTTGGACAGCCTGAAGAAACTGGTTCTCTAGTCAGGTGTGGTGCCAACTGCTGTTGCTACTGAGCCATCTATCCAGCCCCTTAAAAAATTTATTTTATTACATTTTGCTTTTTTGTGTGACATTTTATGTGTGATGACGATGATGATGACAATGTGTAGCCTAGGCTGGGTTGTCCTTGAATTCATAGAGATCTGTAAAAGTAACTTTATTTGCCTGCTTCAGCTGTTGTCTCGGAAGATTACTGCCTCTGTCTGTTGTCCTAGGCCTAGTCCTGGGAGCGTCTAGCCTCTGTACGATCTAAATAGCCTAGAACATTTTCAGCCTCTGAGACTTATTACTGAACAAGCTCACCTTTAGTTCTCTCTGAGCTCAGGGCTGGCTGGTTCGGCTCAGCTGTTCCGGCACCAACTCAGCCAGCTGACTGATTCAGTCTCCTTTTTTTCTTGGCCTCTGAATTGCTCTGCTTGGCCTCAAATTAACTCCATCCATCTGTTCTAGACTCCTGGCTCCTTCTCATTCTCGGGCTCATTTGGTCTTCACCTGAGTTCTGTCTCTCTGCCACCTGTCTCTCTATTACTGTCCTGGTAAAACTGCACGCTCTCTCTCTCTCTTGCTTTACCTCTCTCGCTTTTGCTCTCTTTCTGCATTGCCCCTTAAATAGTTTCCCTTTCCTCTCAGTTCTTGTGAGAGTTGGGTGTATCCTAGTCTGTCAAGTCTTTCTCTGATAGACAGATAGATAGGTAGGTAGATAGTCAGATAGATAGGTAGATAGATAGATAGATACATACATACATACATCGATAGATAGATTAAAGTCACTAAGATCACTTTTTCTATTAGGTTATGCTATGTGCCTGGGGTAGCACCGGCTGTAAAGACCAAAGCTGGTACGAAGTGACCTGTCTACCCGATGTTCTAGGCTTGGGAAGATTTTCACCTCTTCTAGATGACCCATCAGGCTGTTTCTTCAAGGGTGGCGTGTTGCCTTATTAAACAGTGTTGTGTGACCTACTGAATTCTGTGAGGCAAAGTCAAGGTGAACCCTCAAGGTTGTTTTTTTATTTTTATTTTTATATTAGTTACAGTTTATTTACTTTATATTCCAGCTGTAGCCCCCTCCCTAATTCCCTCCCAATCCCACCCTCCCTCCTTCATCTCCTCTCTGCCTCTCTCTAAGTCCACTGATAGGGGAGGTCCTCCTCCCCTTCCATCTGACCCTAGCTTATCAGGTCTCACTAGGACTGGCTGCAATGTCTTCCTCTGTATCCTAGCTAGGCTGGTCCTCCCACGGAGGGTGGGGAGGTCAAAGAGCCAGCCACTGAGTTCATGTCAGAGACAGTCCCTATTTCCCTTACTAGGGTACCAACTTGGACACTGAGCTGCCATGGGCTACATCCGAGCAGGGGTTCTAGCTTATATCCATTAATGGTCCTTGGTTGGAGAATCAGCCTCAGAAAAGACCCCTGTGCCCAGATATCCTCCGTGGATTTTACGTTATCCATGGAGGCAGGGTCTCCCAATCACCCAGAGCTTCCTGACAAGCATAGCTACCCTAGCCAGCTGCTCTGGAGATCCCACCCCACACTTCCGTCTGGGCTCTGAACTCTGGTCCTTACGCCTACGCTCCAAAACTGTGTGATTCACATTTTCCCCTCTGCTCCACATCAATGTTGGGACGATTTGTGCTTTGCCCAACCCTGAGCCTCTGGCACAGCCCCATGAGCTGTTCCCACTGAGCTCAGGAAGCATCTTTGATGGGTAAACCTGCATTCATTCCTCGGGTGAGGGTTCTCTGTAAAACAGCCATGGCTGTCCTGGGACTTGCTTTTGTAGACCAGGCTGGCCTTGAACTCACAGAGGTACCCCTGCCTCAGCCTCGCTCCCCTTCGGATTGAAGGTGTGTGCCACCACACGTGGCTTGGATGATAGACTTCTAACGGTGTCTTTGCTGAGTCACAGGACAATCATGTTAAAATTGCTCGTAGTAGCTGAGGTGGCGATGCCTCTCTGTGATCTCAGCACTCCAGAAATGGAGGGGCACGATCGAAAGTTCACAGCCTGCCTAGCTTTTGTCCTGTGTTTTGAGGCAAGGTCTCATTATGGCTGCCCTGCAGCTCTCTACGTAGGACAGCCTGGCCTTGACTTTACGGGGATCTCCACCACTCCTGATCCTTGCCTCCACCTTCCCCTACCTGTGGGATTACAGGCTAACAAACCCACATTCACCTTTATTTTTTTTCTTTCCTGCTAAGATTTGATTGTTTCTTTCAGTTGTTTTTCTTCTTTTAGCTTCTTTTTTTTTTCTTTTTAAACAGGATTTATTGTTTTAAGTTATGTATAGGCATGAGTGTCAGAAGAGGGCATTGGACCCCCAGAACTGGAGTCACAGGCATTTGTGAGCAGCCTTGTGTGGGTGCTGGGAACTGAACTCAGAACCATCTGTCCAGTCTCTGCTTTTTTCTCTCTCCTCAGTGGAGAGTCAGACATTTCTCATTTCTTTTCTAGGCATTGGGATTTCTTATTATTGCTTATTTCTTTTCCTAGTCAATTATGCTTCTTTTATTATTTTTTAAAAGTATTTTCAAGAATTTATTTATTTTTTATTTTATGCAAATTAGTGTGAAGGTATCAGATCCCTTGGAATTGGGGGCATAGGCAGTTCTGAACTGCCACGTGGGTGCTAGGAATTGAACCCAGGTCCTTTTGAAGAGCAGACAGTGCTCTTAACCACTGAGCCATCTCTCCAGCCCCCTTCTTTTATTATTTTATTGTTAGATTTCTGAAGCAGCTTAAAGAGACAGGAGGCAGGAAAGAGACTGGAGACCAACCTCAACTGACTGCACTGTTTATTTCAGACAGGACCAGGCACAGTGTTAAAAAGGTGTCTGCAAAAGGGGAAGGGGCTACTTGGGGAATATAGGCGAGGTTTGAGGAATGAGGAGTTAAATGCCACCTCTGGGGTTATGTGCAAGCCTGCAGCTTCTCCCTTCTGGAGTTGTTTGCCATTTTATCTACAGAAACTGCCTTGCCCTGCTCTCAGGATGAAGGTCGTAGGGGGTGACTGAGTTGGCAATGACAGTGAGGGGGAAGGGGCTAGAATTTCAATAAAAGCCTTGGTCAGCCTCTGGTTCAAGGTTTATTCTTACATTTACAAGCAAGACGATGTCAGATTACTTTCAATTTTTAAAAAATTACTCTTCCATTTTTATTGTGTGTTAGTGTAGAGGGGCAAAGGCTGGGCGTGTATTTCTGTGGCACGCTCACAGAAGTCAGTTCTCTTTCCACCTCTGCTAACCAGGTGACCACAGCGAGGGCCTTTACCCACTGAGCCATCTCACCAGCCTGTGCCTTCTTTCTTTAAAACTCTTAAAGTTTTATTTTATGTGCATTTGTGTGAAGGTGTCAGATCCCTTGGAATTGGCGTTACAGACACTTGTGAGCTGCTGTGTGGATGCTGGGAACGGAACCCGGGTCCTTTAGGAAGAGCGGACAGTGCTCTTCACTCCTGAGCCATTTCTCCGGCCCCTTGTGATTTTCTTTTTTCTTTCTTTCTTTTTAGTTTTTCAAGACAGGGTTTCTCTGTGTAGCTTTGGCTGGCTGTCCTGGGCTCGCTTTGTGACCAGGCTGGCCTCACAGAGACCCGCCTGCCTCTGCCCCCTGGAGTGCTGGGATCACAGGTGTGCGCCACCACATCTGGCTGCCGTAAATTTCTTTATTGCTTCGTAAGAGATTTTGTTTTTGTTTTCATTCTGCCTAACATTCATTCATCTAACATTTCTTCCTACACTGTAACTTTTGTGTTTGGAACTATACAAACACTGGGCTCTTGGCTGTGATGAAGCTTTGTCATTTTTGTTGTTGTTGTTCTCTGCTAATTTTATGGATTAGTAAAGAACCAGAGAGCAACATACCAGGGCGTAATAAAAGCATAACAAAGTCTTACATGGTCTTACCGTCTTTGCCTTTGGTAAATGTGTGCAGATTTCTTACTCTTGTTGGGCTTGGTATTCTGTGATATAATAACAGAATCTGCCGCCTAAGAACAGGAGAACTGGGCTGGAGAGATGGCTTAGAGGTTAAGACTGCTCACCCGGAAGACCCGAGATCAATTCCCAGAAGCTCACAACTGTCTGTAATTTCATTTCCAGGGGATCTGACACCCTCACATAGACATATGTGCAGGCAGAATACCAATGTACGTTAAGAAAAATTTTAAAAAAAGAGCATTTAGTAGCCAAATAAGGACAAACTGGATTGTGTTAATCCTCGCCACGTGGAAATGCTCTTCACTGTGCATTATCTCAGCTTCACATCAGGGGTCCAGAAACCCAGTTTTGAAGTCTCTAAAGCTAACACGCAACCACTGAGCGGTCTCAGCGCGCCGCCTCTGGAGCAGCTCCGGATTGGGTGCCGCCTCCTGCCTAGACGGAACAGAGATTGGCTTTAGCAGCAAACGAGAGGCGCGGAACCAAACAGTCCGACTAAAGGTGTTCCTAGGGAATCCCAATGGGAAGACAGCTTCTCTCGTCTGGTCGTTTTGCGGTGCCTTTCGGGAATTGTAGTCAGAGCCTCCCCACAGTGCTCCAATGCAGGCAGGAAGAGGACTACATTTCCCAACATGCCCCGCGACAGGCGCGTGCATAGCCTATTCTCATCCCCTTTACTCTTCACACTTTATCTGCACTCTCTTATCTTTGGACTGCTTTTTGGCTGGGTCCTGTCTGTGAAGTCCTTCGTAGTGCTCCCACCGTTTAGAATTCTCATCCTTTGTTTCCAGAAGCCAATGAAAGACATTAGCTGAGATTAAGCGACAGCTGGTGAGCTGGGGTGCGCGAGGGGCATCCGAGTGGTGAGGGGGTAAGAGAGGGGTAAAGGAAGGCGTGGAGCGAGAGGTGGCGTAAAAGGAAAGCCAGAAGTGTGGAGCTCGGACGGCGTGGGTCTCAATGAAGGGGGTGAAGCTGACCGGGGTAGAAAGGGATTTAGGCATGAAGGCAGTTTATAGCTGTGTCTCCAGATCAGAGCTAAGGACTTGACAGATTTGGAGCTGAGAAAAGACTGGGCTCAAACAATCTTTTGGTTTTTGTTATTTTTCGAGACAAGGTTTCTCTGTGTAGCCTTGGCTGTCCTGGACTTTCTAGACCAGGCTGGCCTTGAACTCACAGAGATCCCCCTGCCTCTGCCTTCCTGAGTGCTGGGACCACAGTGTGCGCAACCACGACCGGCTTCAAACAGTCATCCTTGTCACTGCTTAGATGAACTAGAGACGTCATTGATATGCAAACCAGTTTTGCCAAGGTAATTCTGTCACTTGTCCACACCGGTGAGGATCTGGATTTGCTCCTCAGGGGAACATACACAGAAATGAGAACAGTTCTGCCACCTGGAGACTGAAAAAAGGCTGAACTTTTAGGGCAGATGTGGAACACCAGGTGAGCCACATTCCCGAAATCCTAGCACTTGGGAGGTGGAGACAGAAGGATCAGTAGTTCATAGCCATCCTTGGCTACACAGCAAGTTCAAGACCTTCCTGAGCTGCATGATGAAGAAGCAGGAACATGAGGGGTTTGGGAGGAGTGGGTGATGAGTGGTACCAGAGAGGAAAATACAGAAATGGTGGGTTAAAGTGGACTTGATAGATCTGGTGTCAGAGTGACACTGGCCTGGATCACAGAGAAGTGCTTTTGACATTTGTCCCTGTCAGGTAATGGAGAGCGCCCCTTCTGGGGGTGGACTGAACCGAACACACCTACAATGCAGAAATCTACAGGAGTTTTTAGGGGGCCTGGGCCCTGGGGTGCTGGACCGGTTGTACGGGCACCCTGCCACTTGTCTGGCTGTCTTCAGGTGAGGAGTCTTCAAAGAAAGGGGAGCGTGTGGGGAAGGTATCGGGGCCTGCAGACTGAACTTAGCTATAATGGGGGGATGTTTAGCCCAGTGTGGATACCAGGGCATTAGACATTGCTCTAAGGTGCATCAATCCAAAACATAAGGAGGTTGTGGGGCCAGTGGGATGGATAAGGATATGGGTGATGACATGAGACGTTTGAGAGGCAGAGAGCGGAGATGCAGGTGTGAGGTAGCTTCTGGTAACATGTGGCCTCTGAACCTTCCAGGGAGCTCCCTGCTCTGGCTAAGAACTGGGTGATGAGAATGCTGTTCCTGGAGCAGCCTCTGCCTCAGGCTGCGGTGGCCCTGTGGGTGAAGAAGGAGTTCAGCAAGTGAGTCCTCTGTTCAGCTGGTGCCAGCATCCAGCGTACATATACACAGGAGCTTGGATCAGGCCTAGGCCTTTCAACAGTCCCCTCTACACGGGGAGTGCCCTCCAGAAAACACTTGCAGTGTTTTCCATTTCAGAGAGTTGTGATATTTGTAACTAACTAGCTGTGTGCTAGTTAAAACAAACAGACAAAAAAACAAAAAGGGAAAAAAAAGTATGCCTGGAAGTTGAGAGGTGGAGACAGGAAGATCAGAAGTTCAGGGGCTACATAGTAAGCCTGAGGCTGTTCCAAGTTTCAGAGAAGGCTTTCTGCAACAAAACAAAATCAAAACAGAGAGAGAAACAGCAATGAAAAACAACCAGGTTCTCCTTAGCATCAGTACAGACATCTGAGGCAACAAAACACAACTTCACTCTGCAACACTGTTCCGAGGACACCAGTTTAGAAAAGAGAGGTGGCGCCCCTGGCGGTCTCTGTACTCATGACACAACACCCAACTGTGCTGCTGTCCAGGGCCCAGGAGGAAAGCACAGGGCTGCTGAGTGGCCTCCGTATCTGGCATACCCAACTGCTCCCTGGTGGACTCCAGGGCCTCATCCTCAACCCTGTCTTCCGCCAGAACCTCCGAATTGCTCTTCTGGGTGGGTATGTCATTTCTCTCTCTTGTTGAGCTAGGCCAGGGGAACTGCTGCTTACACTGATGGGGAGAAGCTCCTGATACTCCCCCCAAACTTATGATCCCCCCCCCCCAACTCCTTCAAGAATATCCTGGACCAGGTATGGGTATAGGAAATGTCCCCTTCACGTGGTCCATGAGGTGAGGGTGGGAAAAGCCCCAGGAAGCAGGAAACAGACAGGGCTCCTCACTCCTGCCCATCCTGGCCACAGGGGCAAGGCCTGGTCTGATGACACAAGTCAACTGGGACCAGACAAGCACGCCCGAGATGTCCCCTCACTTGACAAGTATGCTGAGGAGCGCTGGGAGGTGAGGACTGGGCCTCTGTGCGCCCCTGTGCTCCCGTCCCCTGAAGCCCTTGAGTCCCTGCTCTCCTGACTTCCTTCATCTCTAGGTGGTCTTGCACTTCATGGTGGGCTCCCCCAGTGCAGCTGTCAGCCAGGACCTGGCTCAGCTGCTCAGTCAGGCTGGGCTTATGAAGAGGTGAGGAGGCCTGCTGAGGCGTCTGGGGGTTAGGAGGGTTGCAGAGTTGGCTGAGAAGAGTCTGAGGAGGTGTCACCCTTCTCTGGACCCCTCTGCGTTTCTAGCACGGAGCCTGGAGAACCGCCCTGCATCACTTCCGCTGGCTTCCAGTTCCTGCTCCTGGACACGTCCGCCCAGCTCTGGTACTTCATGCTGCAGTATCTGCAGACGGCCCAGGTGAGAGCCAGGGCCTAGGTCAGTGCACTCACTCCCAAGTCCCCAGTGGCAGCCACACCCTGCACTCAGCTCCCTCTTCCTGTCTTATCTCCGCTTTCTCCTCAGAGCCGAGGCATGGACCTGGTGGAGATTCTCTCCTTCCTCTTCCAGCTCAGCTTCTCTACCCTTGGCAAGGTGAGGAGGGAGATAAGGAGAGCTTATGGGGAGGCGGGACGGTAGGAGTTAGCACAGAACCACCGAGGAGGCGAGAGGAGGGTCGGGCTGGCAGTGACCGGAAGGACCATCTCTTCTCCAGGACTACTCTGTAGAGGGCATGAGTGACTCTTTGTTGAACTTCCTGCAACACCTGCGTGAGTTCGGGCTTGTTTTCCAGAGGAAGGTGTGTACACCCAGCCAACTGGCTTCTAGGCAGTTGGGGGCAGTAGAAGGCCCTTGCAGGACTCGGTGCTCGGGTCACCTGAAGGGGGACAGTAAAGGCGGACGGTTTCACATGAGGCGGCTGGTGGAGGAGGAGGGTGTTAGGGTGGTCACCTGAATGAGGACCCTGATTTCCTGTGCCTTCCAGAGGAAGTCCCGGCGTTACTACCCCACACGCCTGGCCATCAATCTCTCATCCGGCGTCTCCGGGGCTGGGGGCACTGTGCACCAGCCAGGCTTCATCGTCGTAGAAACCAACTACCGACTGTATGCCTATACGGGTGAGGCTGGACGGGGTGGCACAGGCGAAAATCCAGTTCCGGCCACCTTTCCTGGGTGGTTTGTGAGTGGCCCTCATTCTTACACGTGAGGGCAGGGCTGGAGGAGGGCGGGTGTGGGCAGCCTCCTCATTGCTCTTCGTCCCTGGGCCAGAGTCGGAGCTGCAGATTGCGCTCATCGCCCTTTTCTCTGAGATGCTCTACCGATTCCCCAACATGGTGGTGGCCCAAGTGACCCGGGAGAGCGTGCAGCAGGCCATCGCCAGCGGCATCACAGCGCAGCAGGTGAGCTGCCTGGAGTGGGGGGTCAGGAGACGGCTGTGCCGGTCCTGAGGCAGCCTCCGGCCTGTCAGCGGTGCAGGCACCTGAGCACCAGGCACATGTAGAGGAATTAGGGACTCAGGGCGGAGCCTGAAGGGGAGGTGGTCTAGCTCCGAGTCTGTCTCACCCCGCTCCCAGGAAGCAGCAGTCCACCCCACAGCAGAGCAGAAGATGCGCCGTGGGAGTGGCCGGTGTGACCAGTGGGAGTGACCTGCTAGTGATAGCGTGCCAGGTGCCCCCCCCGCCCCAAGATCACATTAGGTGACGCTCAGATGCCTTTCTGCCTCCTGTATTTTCCTAGATAATCCATTTCCTAAGGACCAGGGCCCATCCGGACATGCTCAAACAGGTATGGCTGGCTACCAGGAAGCTGGTGCTGGCAGCTGGGGCGCCTCGCAGTGAGCAGATGGGTGAGAAAGGGACACCCAAAGCCCCATGACTGCTATGCCCCCCCTCCGTGTCCCTGCAGACTCCTGTGCTGCCCCCCACCATAACAGACCAGATTCGGCTGTGGGAGCTGGAGCGGGACAGACTTCGCTTCACTGAAGGTGAGCGCCCCCCCCCCAGTCTTGGGCACTGGCTAACGAGGTGAGGCCGACAGACAGTTCAGCCATGATAACGAAACAGGCCTGGCGCAGTTCATGTTTGTTTCCACGGAGAGGGAGAGAGAAGCTGATCGTTTATCTTGATGTTCTGCTAGCAGGATATGTCCAGATCAGTGCAGTCTGGATTAAGTCAGGCGAGGGCAAGGGGCACGCGCTGTATTCTGCTCTTTTCGAATGTGTGGCTGCTCCGGGTGTTGTGGCACTGGCTGGCAGCCCCGGCCCGCACGCTGTGGAGGGGCCGAGCGCACTGCAGCCCCTCACCTCCTGCCTGTCCCACCCAACCCCAGGCGTCCTGTATAACCAGTTCCTGTCGCAAGTGGACTTTGAACTGCTGCTGGCCCACGCGCGGGAGCTGGGCGTCCTCGTGTTCGAGAACTCGGCCAAGCGGCTGATGGTGGTGACGCCGGCGGGGCACAGCGACGTGAAGCGCTTCTGGAAGCGGCAGAAGCACAGCTCCTGAGCCGGCCCCGGGCGGGCGGGCGGCTTTCCGACTCAGGTGTATTTGGTTTACAAACCGGGACGTTTCTTGTTTAATAAAAGTATGGAAAAAGCTTTGCGGCTCCGGGAACTTGCCCTTGTCTTCCCACACAAGTTGCCGGGACCACTCGTGCAACTAGAGCCCGGCCAGCGGGCGTTCTCTGCGCAAGCGCGCGCCTGCCCCGCCCCTGCGTGCGCGCGCACCCCGGCGCCCCGCCCCTCCCCGCTCTCCGAGTTTCCGCGCCGCTTAGCTGGGCTCCCGGGTGCTCTAAGCCCGGCTCCTCCGCGCGTCCGTCAGCACGGGGCGCCGGGCACAGCGCCCGCCTTTGCACCGCCCCTGATCCGCAGCGCTGCCGCCAGGCGCCGCGCCCCCGGCGGAGGGACGCAGTGAGGGGCTGACCCCGCGCCCCGCCGATGAGCGGACGGCCGCCTGCTCCCAAGCGCTCCCGATGTCTCGCTTCCCTCTGGCCGCCTTCCGGCCGCCGCTCGGCGGGCTGCGGCCGTCCCGGGGCCTGCAGCCGCTCTGTACGCGGCCGGAGCCCGGCGCGCCCCTCCCTCGGAGGAACCGCGAGGCCAAGCAGAGGCGCCTGCGGGAGAAGCAGGCGGCCCTGGAGGCCGGGCGAGCTGGCCGGAGCAAGGTCGGGGCGGGGCGGAAGAGGCCGGATCGGGTGAGTGCAGCCTGCCGCACACTCGCGCCCACACCTCGTCTCCTCCCCGCAGGCACCCGCAGCGCCCGCCAAGGCCTGGAGTCGCAAGGAGGTAGTAGTGTATGACGTCGCCACTGAGCCGGGTGAAAAGAAAGGTGAAGTGTGGGGCGCGCTCGCGCTTGTCCTGCTCCGGGCCGTCGGCGTGCGGCTCGGTGGGGGACTTTTCTTCCTCTTCCGCAGACGTCTCCGCGCCCCTGCCCCCTGCGTACAGCCCCCGGTATGTGGAAGCGGCCTGGTACCCGTGGTGGCTGCGAGAGGGCTTCTTCAAGCCGGAGTATCAGGTTAGTGAGAGACAGTGCCTTCTGCGGGGTCCCTGGGACAGAAGTTGGGGGTTCAGCTGGTGGCACAGCTGAGCGTTGCTTCTTTTGGCACCTGGCTTCAGAGGTTCCTTTTCCCCTTGTTGGATATTCTTGAAATTCTATTGTTATTATTACTATTATTATTTTGAGACACAGCGTCTCTGTGTGGCCTGGCTGTCTTGGAACGCACTCTAGAGCAGGCTGGCCTCGAACTCAGAGATCCACCTGCCTCTGCCTCCCGAGTGCTGGGATTAAAGTGTGCCTCCTTGAGGTTCTTTTGCCCCGAGGTCACCAGGGGGTGCTGCTTGCCCGGGCTGCGTCCCTTCCTCCCTGGCCCCTGACTTCCTCCCTTCCAGGCGCGGCTGCCCCACGCTACCGGGGAGACCTTTTCCATGTGCATTCCACCTCCCAACGTCACTGGTTCCCTGCACATCGGCCATGCACTCACAGTGGCCATCCAGGACGCACTCGTGCGCTGGTGAGGGATGGGGCCGCTGGCGGGGCAGGGCTAGTGAGCATCTGTGAGCTCGGGTCCCTGACGTGTTTCCGTCGCAGGCACCGGATGCGTGGGGATCGCGTGCTGTGGGTCCCGGGCTCAGATCACGCGGGGATTGCTACACAGGTGTGTCTGTTGACCCCTCTCCGCTTCTTCAGTGGCGTATCCTTACCCGGAGCAACTCGACCAGCGATCTTTTTGCACTTGATCCCAGGCTGTGGTGGAGAAACAGCTGTGGAAGGAGCGGAGAGTGAGGAGACACGAGCTGAGCCGGGAAGACTTCCTCAGAGCCGTGTGGGAGTGGAAACACGTGTGAGCACGATGGCAGGGCCGGCGGGTGGCAGGGCTGGCGGGGGGGACGGGAGGCTTTGCTGTCACTGCTTTTCCTGGCTGGCAGCATTCCCTTCTTCCTGCCTCGTCCCTAACGTCCTTAGGGCAGGGGCTCTGACGGGCAGAGGGTGCCTGTGTGCCTGCTTGTGCGTTATGTTTATGTTAGGGTGCTCACGTTCGTGTGTGTGTGTGTGGGTGTGGGTGTGGGTGGGTATGTGTGGGTGTGCACAGTCATGTGTGATGTTAGGATGTGCACACGTGTGTGTGATGTTTGTGTGAGGGTGTGAATGCTTTGGGTGTGTGATGTTTATGTAGGATGTGCACATTTGTGTGTCCAGGAGTGGATATATATACCTGTGTGGCTTTCTTTTGACCTGCTAGTCTTGTTTCCCCTGATCCTCCCCGACTCCCCCCTGCACCCTCCTCCTCCCGTGTCTCGTCCATGCTGTGTCCCTCTCACTTTGTTGCATTTTTCACAGGGTGGCTGCTTCCTGCCAGCTAGCACAGCTGTGACTGTGAACTTGTGTAAATTACGAGGAGTGTGTGTGTGTGTGTGTGTGTGTGTGAGAGAGAGAGATTTTTGGCTTTTCTTCTTTATTGCATAATTTTCAAATGTAAACTTCCTGGATCACAATGTCATGTTACAGTACTATGCAAAATGAACGTACGTATGTACTCATAACCCATGGGCTACAGCTTAGACACGTGCCTGTGTGCGTGTGTGCTCTCAACCCACTGGCTGCAGCGTAGACAACGCTGGCTGTAGCCTGTGACCATCATTGATTCGGTGTGTGTCAGAGAAGCTGAGAGTTCAGAGCATTGCTGAGACTTTTCTGTGTCTTAAGCCCCAGAAAGCCCCACCCTGTGTGTGTGTGCGTGTGGATGGTTCTGTCTCATCGGCTTCCAGGCTGGGTCAGTGCCCCATGCGCTGCTGGCCGAGGCGAGCATCCATGGTTAGTGTCGGTAGGGGCTCTGGTGTGTTCACCAATCCGAGTCTCTGGTGCAGGAAAGGAGGGGAGATCTATGAGCAGCTGTGCGCGCTGGGAGCCTCGCTGGACTGGGACCGAGAGTGTTTCACCATGGACGCTGTGAGTTCACGCGGCAGGCTGGCGGGTGTGGGGGAGGTCGTTGGAGCCAGTGTGGGCCGTGCTGGGTTCAAGGGCGGGAGTTCAGGGGTGCACACTCTGGTCATTCCAGGGCTCCTCGGCAGCTGTGACGGAAGCCTTCGTGCAGCTGCACCGAGCGGGGCTGTTGTACCGGAGCCGCCAGCTTGTCAACTGGTCGTGCGCCTTGAGATCGGCCATCTCGGACATTGAGGTGAGCGAGGAGCCAGGCTGGCTGGGGGGGGAGCCCTCCCCGAGGGCAGCTGTGTCAGGTTCTCTCGAGCTCCGGCTTCACCGTCACTCAGAGAGGGCGGCTTCGGCCTTGTAGGAACGCTGTAAAGAGGCTCAGCACGGTGCCCGTCGTGGCTTCTGAGCTCCGTGACCTCACAGTGGCCGATGGCTCCCAGCCCTGGGGTGGGTGGCAAGAACAGAACGCATAGCTGTGGGCATCCTGCACGTGGGCACCATAGACACGGCTCTTCTGCCTCCTCACCCCGCCAGGTGGAGAGCCGGCCCCTGCCTGGCCGCACAGAGCTCCGGCTGCCCGGCTGCCCGGCCCCTGTGTCTTTCGGGCTCCTCGTCTCTGTTGCTTTCCCTGTGGATGGAGAGCCTGGTGAGTGTAGGCCTGAAAGCTGCCCTCTTACCTCTGCCTCCCGTTCTCTTTAATGCACGGAGGGGGGGGAGAGGAGGTGCGCGTTTGGGACCTCTGGTAGGTTTGCACTGCTGTGGGTACCTGCTGTGGGGCCCCAGGTCCACACAGCAAGTTCAAAGCCAGCCAGGGCTATGCAAGGCCCTGGCTTGGTAAAACAGTGTGGAAGGAGCCCTGTTCTAAACTGCAGCTGTGAGTGTTGGAGAGCATTCAGAGAGGAGGCAGGAGGGGGCCCGCTGGACCCTGTTGGGGAGGGTGGGCAGGCTGGGCCTGATGGCTGACCTTGGAGCTGGAATCTTGTCGCCAGACACGGAGATTGTGGTGGGAACCACCAGGCCTGAGACCCTGCCGGGTGACGTGGCTGTAGCCGTCCACCCAGACGACCCACGGTACACGGTGAGTGGGTCCTCAGTGGTAGCCCTCCATTGGAGGCCCCTCCTCAGCTCTGCGCCAGCTCCAGCCTTGCTCGCCTGCTTTTGCTGTTCTGCTGTGTCCCACGCTCAGGGTTAACTGACCATGGCCTCTGGACCAAGTGTGGCCACTGCGTCTTTGGGCCACACTCCCGGGCTCTCCCTCGGGAGCCCGGCCCTTGAAGCGGCACGCTGCGCCTAGCCCCTTTCCCTTGCTTCCTACCCTCTCGAGTGCTCATGCCCGTTCCTGACAGCTCACCTTTCCCTTTAGCATCTACATGGGCGACAGCTTCGTCATCCCCTGACGGGACAGCTGCTCCCTGTCATCACAGACACCTCAGTTGAGCCACGTGTGGGCACAGGTGTGTGGATGCCGAGCTTGCAGGGAGGACGAGAGAGGGGAGAACGGGAGGAGGATGAAGGTGGGAGAGCGGGAGGAAGGAGGGGATGACGCCAGGATGCCAGGATATGGTGCTTCTGGAAACCACGGCCGCCATCAAGCCAGCCTCAGGCAGCTATTTCCCCCAGGGGCGGTGAAGGTGACGCCTGCTCACAGTCCAGCCGATGCCGAGATGGGGGCCCGGCACGGCTTGACCCCCCTGAGTGTCATTGCAGAGGATGGGACCATGACGTCGCTCTGTGGGGACTGGCTGCAGGTGAGCCTGCCTTGGTGTCACCCTGTCTCTGCCCCGCCTCCCCCTCTTGCCTGAGGCCCCTAACCTTGTCACCTTCCCCAGGGTCTTCACCGATTTGTGGCCCGGGAGAAGATTGTGTGCATGCTGAGGGAGCGGGGCCTGTTCCGGGGCTTACGGGAGCACCCCATGCTGCTGCCCATCTGCAGGTGCCCTGTTAACCTTGACCGGGGGCCAAGCCAAGAGGGAATGGACAAGGCTTAACAGTGACCACAGCCTGGGCTCTGTGTGCCCGGCGTGTTCTGTTGCTCTTGATGACAGGACCTGGGCGGGCGCCTCAGCCCTTCAAGTGTCGGGGTTCCTATGGGTTCTGGTCCCCAGCTTCTCCTTAGCCCTCAGGGCCTCTCCCTGCCACCCTTACAGCCGTTCCGGGGACGTGGTGGAACACCTGCTGAAGAGCCAGTGGTTCCTGCGCTGCCAGGAAATGGGGGACCGAGCGGCCAAGGTACGGCCCTGTGTGGGCCAGTGGGCCTGGGAGGAGGGGAGCCCCTGTCGTCAGGCCCCGTGGAGATGGAGGAAGGCCAGCTTGCGTCCTTGTTCTGGCACAGAACCTTGGGCAGCATTTACGGTCCTTTCCGGTATTGTGCTGTCACGGGGACGTAGGTGACAGTTGGTTCAGCAGGGAAAGGCACTGGCTGTGAAGCCTAGCCTCGGTTCAGTCCCCGAACCAGTGGACGGAGACAACCGGCTCCCAAAAGCTGTCCTGCGGCCTCCGTACGTGTGTACATACGCATCACACACCTGAGTTTTAAACCTGGAAATCATCTGTGTGCGCCCTGTGGTTCGCATGAGGCGCTGAGAGGGTAAGCCGTGGACTCGGCTCCTCCCTTCTGTCTCCGTCGTGCGTGAGCCAAGCCCTCTGCCTGCTGAGCCTTCACACTGGCCTCCTTGGAGGGGTCATTGTTTTGTTTTCCAAGCCAGGGTCTCACTGTGCAGCCCCGGCTGGCCTCGCCCGCATGTGTCTGGATTAAAGGCGTGGGCCGCCTCTCTCTGACAGGCCGTGGAGTCAGGGGCCCTGGAGCTCTGGCCCGCTTTCCACCGGAAGAGCTGGCAGCACTGGTTTGCCCACATGGGGTAAGGTGGCTCTCAGAAGGGGGGAGGGGCCCACTGGTCACACTGGCATCACGGGCATCGTCCTGGACAGGGACTGGTGTGTCTCCCGGCAGCTGTGGTGGGGACATCAGATTCCAGCCTACAAGGTCGTCGGGGAGAGTGCAGAGGTTAGTGAGAAGCCTCTGGTCGGAAGAGCGGGGGGGGGGGGGGGGGGGGGCAGGCTCTGTCCTGCAACCTCCTGAGTGACCGTCCCCCTCCCAGTGCCTTCCTTCCTCTAGAGCCGTCTGCCGCTCAGCACTCGGGAAGGTGAACAGTGAGTTTCACACACATCCCTTGGCGTCCCCTCTTCATTTTTTTAGGATGACAGTAAGGAATGTTGGGTGGTCGGTCGGTCAGAAGCTGAGGCCAGAGCGATAGCCGCCAAACAGACGGGCAGGGCAGGGCCAGAGCTGACCCTGGAGAGGGGTGAGTGCCTAGCGGGCAGGCCGTGGAGGACTGACAGCCTGGGGGCAGCAGGGGCCTGGGGCCTGAGGCTCCAGCTGTTCCCGTCTCATTCCCAGACCCTGATGTCCTGGACACTTGGTTCTCATCGGCTCTTTTCCCCTTTTCTGCCCTGGGTTGGCCTCAGGAGGTGAGCTGTCCCCGTGTGTGTCTGTGTGTGTGTGTGTGTGTGTGTGTGTGTGTGTGTCCCCGAGCGGCAGCCACCTCATGCTCTCCGTGAGGCAGGCTGGGCAGGCTGGCCTCACAGGCTGTTTGTTGCCACAGACGCCAGACCTCGCTCGCTTCTACCCGCTCTCGCTCCTGGAGACGGGCGGCGACCTCCTGCTGTTCTGGGTGGGCCGCATGGTCATGCTGGGGACCCAGCTCACCGGGCAGCTGCCCTTCCGCAAGGTACCGTGCTCTCGTGCCCCGGCCTGCCCCGGAAGCCCCGGCCAAGCCCTCGGCTGACTGCTCCGTGTCTCCAGGTGCTGCTTCATTCCATGGTTCGGGACGGGCAGGGCCGGAAGATGAGCAAGTCCCTGGGCAACGTGCTGGACCCTCGGGATGTCATCAGTGGGCAGGAGCTGCAGGTGAGACAGGGCTGTAGCTCAGGACACGATTCGAGTGCTCTGACCCCTCGGCCTATGAACGTCTCACTTGTCTCCAGGTGCTGCAGGCCAAGCTGACAGAGGGCAACTTGGACCCAGGAGAGCTAGCCATTGCAGCCGCAGCACAGGTGAGAGCCGCAGCAGCTGCCCGAGCCTCTGCCGCTTCCTCTTCAGAGGAAGGCGCTGGCCACACCTTCTTCCCTTTGGTTGCAGAGAAAGGACTTTCCTCACGGGATCCCCGAGTGTGGCACAGATGCCCTGCGATTTGCACTGTGCTCCCATGGAATCCTGGGTGAGCCGAGGCAGGTGGTTTGGCCAAGGGCTTCTGTGTGGGCAGCCCCAGGCGAGGGTGACTGACTCCTCCTTCTTCCTGCAGGGGGCGACCTGCACCTGTCTGTCTCCGAGGTCCTGAACTACCGGCACTTCTGCAACAAGCTCTGGAATGCTCTGCGCTTCATCCTCCGGGCCCTGGGGGAAGGCTTCGTGCCCCAGCCGCCAGAGACGGTGGGAGGGGTAGCCAGCCTGGCCGGGTGGCAGGAGAAGGGCATCCAGCCTTAGGGTCCTCATGCCCTCCCACCTGCAGGTGTCTCCCTCCTCCGCCGTGGACGCCTGGATTCTGAGCCGCTTGGCCTGTGCAGCCCAGGGCTGTGAGCGAGGCTTCCTCAGCCGGGAGCTCTCCCTTGCCACCCACACCCTGTATCATTTCTGGCTGCACAGTCTCTGTGATGTGTACCTGGTGAGGGCGGCACAGCCTGGTGGGTCCCGGCCTGGGTGGTGGTGCGGCTCTGGGTGTGTCAGGTTGTCCGCTCATCGAGGAAGAGCGTGTTCCTCCTCCGCTGGCCTGGGCTCTGCAGTGTCCAGAGCTGTGGCCGGCCTCTCCTAGTGAGAAGGTGGAGGAGTCTAGAACGGTTGGGGCCGGGGGAGTGGGGCAGAGGGGGTTTCTTCAACCCCACGCTGCTGTATTTAGAGTGTGGGCAGCTACGTGCTGGGAAGACAGCGTGGTGTGCTGGGCTCGAGACCAGGGTCCCGTGACAGCCGCCCAGAGCGCCTCTCGGGCGGTCAGGGCAGGCAGAGGTGGCTGTGTGCCGAGCTCCCTGCCTCGGCCTTGTTCCGGCAAAGGACGCGGCTCACTGGCAGACCTCCTAGTTCGTCTGTGCCTCTTTCCTAAACTGTGCCCTTCCTCCGCCGTCTCTGGGAATCCGTGCAGTGGACCATGGGCGCATGCACGTTCCAGGATAGCGTGCCCAAGGATAGAGCTGCAGGGCCTTCCCTGTCCCGGGGCCTGGTCCCCACGGGCACAGCGGCGAAGGGTGTGCCGTGGCCGTGCTTCTACCGTCAGCTCTCTCCTTAGGAAGCGGTGAAGCCGGTGTTGGCGAATGTACCCAGCCCCCCGGGACCGCGGCAGGTCCTGTTCTCCTGTGCGGACATCGGGCTGCGCCTCCTCGCCCCACTGATGCCCTTCTTGGCAGAAGAACTTTGGCAGCGGCTGCCACCCAGGCAGGGTGGCGCCCTTGCCCCCAGCATCTGTGTGGCCCCCTACCCCAGTGCCCACAGCCTGGTGAGTCACGGACGGGCAGGGATCCGGGAAGCAGGGCAGCCTTTGATATCTGAAGGCTGTAGGTGACTGTCAGCCATGAAGCTCTTTACGTGAATTCCCAAGTCAGGTCGCCAGGCTCGCCTGGCAGGCTGACCTGATCATTTCCCCAGACACACTTTTTTTTTTTTGTAAATTGAGACAGGGTCTCTATGTAGCCTCGGCTGCCGGGGACTCGCTGTGGACCCACCTGCCTCTGCCTCCCGAGTGCTGGCATGGCACCGTGCCGACCCCTGGTTTTGATATTGTCACTACAATGCTGTTTCAGCCTCAAGAAGTCACGTTTGAGCTGGGGGGAGGGGGGTGCACACCTCTAACAGCTCGGGAGGCAGAGGCGGAGGATCTCTGGGAGGCCAGCCCAGTCAGCCGGTTCCGGGACTGCCCAGAGCTACAGAGACCCTGTCAAAACAAAACAAAACAAAACAGGTTGGGGAGAAGAACAAAGTCTGCAAGTCCGGGGCTGGAGAGGCAGCTCAGCGCTTAAGAGAATTTGTTCATGCAGAAGACCTGGGCTCCATTCCCAGCACCCACTTTGGTGGCTCACAGCAATCTGTAACCCCAGTTCCAGGGGAGTCAGCAGGCACACACATGTTACACATAAAAATGCATTCTTGCAAAACATTTATACCTAGTATAATTGTTGTAGATTTAAAATTGACAGTCAATGGGCTCTGTGCGTTGATAGTATTTAGGTTTGTAGCTCAGCTGGGGTTGGTTGGCATCTTGAGAGAGGAAAAGCATCAGCCTTTGGTCGGGTAGCTCTCATGCTGTCCTCCTGAGGGGGAGCTGTTGCTGGAGAGGAGGCAGGTGGAGAGAGGGCGGAGCCAGGAGAATCAAAAGGCCGAGTCTGGTGCTGATGCTGAGTTTCCTCACCAGGAGTCCTGGCGTCAGCCTGAGCTGGAACGCTGCTTCTCCAGGGTCCAAGAGGTGGTGCAGGCGCTGCGGGCCCTCCGAGCCACCTACCAGCTCACAAAAGCCCGACCCCGAGGTGAGGCTGTTGGGAAGGGCTGGCCTGCGGGGACAGGAAGCAGCGTAGGCACCGATGCTCGCGCTGACCGTTTCTCCGTCCCTGCATCCACCAGTGCTTCTGCAGAGCCCCGACCCGGGAGATGAGAGCCTGTTCCAGCCCTTCCTGGAGGCCCTGGGCACCCTGAGCCACTGTGGGGCTGTAGGATTCCTGCCCCCAGGGGCAGCAGCTCCCGCAGGCTGGGCCTCGGCCCCACTAGGGGACACCGTGAAGATCTACATGGAGCTGCAGGTGACCAGACGGGGTAGGAGGGGTGGCAGGGAGGGCCTCTGGGGAGGCTGTGCAGGCTGCAGGGTCTCAGGCTTCTCGTTCTCAGGGTCTGGTGGACCCACAGAGCCAGCTACCTCGGCTGGCTGCCCGGAGGCAGAAGTTACAGAGGCAGCTTGATGACCTGAGCCGGACCACACCAGAGGGGGTTGCAGAGAGGCAGCAGAGGGTGAGTCTGGGGGCAGCCTGCGATCCTGGGGGGTGTGGGCGGAGGCCGGCTCACCCATTCTCATCTCTCCCTGCCCAGCTCTCCTCCCTCCGCCTGGAATTGTCAAAGCTGGACCAGGCGGCCTCCTACCTCCAGCGGCTGAGTGATGAGGCTCCCAGGGCGGGGAAACCCTGAGCTCCGCTCCTGAGTGCCGCGCTCCTCAGACCTGCGTGAGCGCATGTGCCTCTGCTGGTGCGGCGGGACCTCAGGGTGACTCATTCTGTAAGAGGAAGCAGAGCAGGTCCCTGTGCTGTAAGAATGAGGAGGACAGGGCCGGAGTGATGGCTCAGGGGTTAAGAATACTTGCTGTTCTTCCAAAGGTCGTGAGTTCAATTCCCAGCAACCACATGGTAGCTCATAACCATCTATAGTAAGATCTGATGTACAGGCAGAATGTTGTATAAATAATAAATAAATCTTAAAAAAAAAAAAAAAAAAAAGAGTGAGGAGGAGATGACGAGATAACACCCCAGACACGCCTTCTTGTGGTCCATTATCACCTGGGCCTCACTTGACTCCTAAGAACCAACACATGTGGGTTTTAGCTTCATTCTGGACACGATGCCAGAGAATGAAGCTAACTGCCCGCCGGTCAGCGGGAGTCTCGCCTGGCTCTCAGCGTGGCTCAGGGGCAGCTCGCTGCTGCTGCTGCTGCAGCCACAAGCTTCACACATGCTGGGAGTGTTCACGCGGGCTGCTGCTGGCAGGCGTGCAGGGTTTGGCCACCTCGCCTGCCGCCCTTGGTCTGATTCCTCTGACGCCCCAGCTACACTCAGGATCTACGTCAGATGCTACCAGGTGCCGCACTCTTGTTGAAGGGAGGAGGCAGAGAGGGCCTTCCAGATTTTTTTCCTTGGTTCAGTGGGTGAGAGACAGTTCAAAAGTCATCAAAGGGAGACAAGGGCAGACAAGGAACTGAAGTGTATTGGGACAGTAAATGGGGCAAGGTCAATCTCCAGAAGATGCAGTTAAGCTAAGACTTCCAGGAGGGGTAGGGACTAGCCATGCAGGCCTGGGAAGGAAAGTGGCACAGAGGTCAGAGAAGAGCTGACCTGCATTCCCTGTGTGTGTACATGCAGATAGAGCACTGATACACATAAAAATAAGTAAATCTTAAAAACCAGACCAAGCAGTGGGCTCTTGGAAGGGCAGGACTTCCTCTGAAATGGCAGCTCTTTCCTCAAGTATATTGACGCTGCTTGCGCCGTGTTGGATGGGGCATTGCCACACAGCCAGCTGAGCTGCCAAGGGAGGCAGGCGGGTATTGTCAGAAGCCGGGTTTCCAGCTAAGATCTTGAGAATGGCTGTCGGATCTTTCCCATCCTCTGGAACTTAACAAGCCAGGCCTGCTATCCCGCTGTCAGCCAGAGCTGACGGGCGTCCTCCGTCCTCCAGCTTCATCCCTGGTGCCCATCTCGTCTGGTCCCCAGATGAGCAGGCTGGAAGCCTTTGGCTCATCACATGACACAGGTTGCAAACAGCTCGGGAGTCCTTTCAGACCCTGCCAGCTTGCAGACACGCTGGGGAGCGTGGCCGCCCACTCTGCCCACTGTCAAGAGAACCCAGCTGCAACCAGGAGCACACAGCTAAGGTAGCCTTAAGGGGTGGCCCGTAAGGCCTCAAACTGCCTGGTGGGCAGGGCCGTCTAACTGGGAGTGAAGGTGCACTCCCAAGGAGAGGCGAGTCCATGGCACAAGCGCGGACACTGAGGACGCTTTGTCCCCAGGACAGCAATCCCTCCAGCCTCCAGAGCGAGCAGGGCAGGGGTGGAATGTGGGCTGGAAAAGCAACATTGAACAGTGATTGGACTGCGCGTGCGCACGCGCACACACACACACACACACACACACACACACACACACACACGCACACCCGGAAACCGGAACCTCTTCACTCTCAGGCCATGTTTGCCATCTCTTTCCTCTGAATTACAAGGCTTCAAGACTATTTGGGCGCTGGAGAGACGGCTCAGGGGCTGAGGGCACTGGCTGCTCTTCCAAAGGTCCTGAGTTCGATTGCCAGTGACCATGTGGACCACGGAATGAATGAGATCTGGTGTCTTCTGCAGAACACTGTATACATAATAAATAAATCTTAAAAAAAAGAGAGAGAGAGACTACTTTGGGTTTTCCTAAGCTTCACTGGCTTAGGAGACAGTTGGAGAGGGGCTGAGGAGATGGCTGGGCTCTTCAGAGACTCCAAGTTTGGTTCCCGGGTCAGGTGCCTCACAACTGCCTGCAACTCAGGCTGCTGCCTCTGGCTTCCCTGGAATCCAGGCACGCATGCACAGACCGAGCTGAGCGAGTCATCCGTGCCGCCTCGCAGCCCACCCAGGTGCCCACTCTTAGCTAAGGACCTGCCTCACAGCCCTGTCTCGGGTGTACTGGGCGGGCAGCTGTCCTCTCCGGCCCGTCCTCCCCTGCGCCTTGGGGCCGTTCCGTCTCTACTAGGGAGCAGTGGCCTGACCCTCCACCCTGGTTCACAAGCGCTCTGAGCAGCCGTCTCCGTCAGAGCCCCTCCCTCAGGCACCTGTGCTCTCATTCCTGGTGGACTGGACAGGGAACTGACTGGGGTTCCCATCGGCTAGTCTTAGGGTGTCCCCTTGCTCGGAAGGGGCCCTTGGAGTGTTAAATGCTTGCTGCTTCCGAGTCCTTCTGGCGATAGAAGTCTTCTCAAATCCTGGACAAGACGCCCCATAAAAATAGAAGGGGGGCTGCTGGTCATGTAGGGGCTGCTGAGCGTGTCCCCTGGGAAGGACAGAAGACCAAGCTGGGGTCAGAAAAGGAACAGCCCCGGGGACGAGAGGAGGCTAATGGAAGCTGGCTCGGGTACTATATGGGGTCCCTGGGTCTTCCCTTCCCCTGTTGGCCCTAGTTGGGAGCCCTGCCCCCACGCCTTCCTGCCATTTCTCCTTGAAATGTCTCCCAGGAATGAGTCACCCCTAACTCTGGGAGACTATGTTCATTTTCCTTCCTCTAACTCCCCTCACAGCCCTGGTGAACCCCGAGGTGAACTGTAGCGCTTTAGGAAAAGGCTGTGGTCCTTGAGGCAGGGCTGAAGAACTCACCTCCGTCCACTCCTTAAGCCCGCCCCGGTCTGGAGTCTGCACCCCTGACCCATGGGGCCACCTCCCTCAGGGTGCAGCCCAGGACAGGCCACAGAGCCCGGAGGCCCCCTGGGGACCTGTGCTTACCTCTGCCTAATGCTACATGTTGAAGGACAATTAGAACGAGGGAAAGAGGCAAAGCAAAATGTCTGCTTCTGCTGCCTCCTGCCCGTGCTTCAGCGGCGTGCTCTGCTGGGGTACCTTGCACTCCCACAGGAGGGCGCTCTTGTATGGGGGTGATGGTGGCTGGGTGGGGAATGATGGACGGGCAATCACCTCAACCCTCCCGAGGGGTCAGTCAGGACTAGGCTACAAGATTTGCCCAGTGAGGAGGCAGGAGAATTTATTTTGTTTTGGACACAGGGTCTCTGTGTGTAGCCCTGGAACTCACTCTGTAGACCAGGCTGGCCATGAACTCAGGGATCCTCCTGCCTCTGCCTCTCAAGCCCAGGAGTTAAAGCTTTTGTGCCACTAAGACCAGCTCGAGATAAACTTGAGGAAGGGACCCTGGATCCCAAGGGGGTGTGAACTCCTAAGGTTCCCCTTTGGCCTCAGTCCGTCCCAGATGTGCCCACCTGAGGGACAGGCCCCGTGGGCCATCCTTCCCTAGTTTACCCACGAGGTTCCCAGAAAAGGATGCAGGCACTGCCTCCATCCCCACCCCGTGGGTGAACAGGAGCGGGTGGACCCTTCATCTGGGACCCCTGAGGTCGTGGTCCACAGGGACAGCTGCCTCCCCCTGCACTGCGATATCTCAGCTGAACCCCACACCCTCTCTGAGTGCCCTTCACCCTGCTTTCCACCCCACCCTGCCCACAGGCCGCCTAGGCCTCTGGGGCTGCGGTTAGAATCCTGCTTCCACTGACATCTGTGCGTAGCCTGGCGTCTTGGCTGCTGCCGAACCCAGGCAAATAGCCCTCTCCCAGCCTCCCTTTTCTCTTCTAGAAGATGAAGAGGCCTGTTACAGAGCATTCAGGATTGCCACAGGGATCATGTGGAGAAGCAGGACTCTACGTGTGTGTGTGTGTGTGTGTGTGTGTGTGTGTGTGTGTGTGTGTGTG